GAGACCCAAATAAAGACTCTAAGATATATCCTAACTAGAATGATGAAAACCAGAGATACAGTACTGAAAGCAGCAGGACCAAAGAAGGAAATTATATACAAAGGAGCGTCCCTAAGATTTACAGAAGACCTATCAAATGAGACTATTTGGGCTTGAAGACAACTGCTAACAGATAGAGAAAGACACTGACAGCAATGTAAGAGTACTTGGAGATTCAACACTCCTCTGTCACCTCTTGATAGATCAACCAGATTAAAGCACAGCAAGGAAATACTGGCTTTGGAAAGAAGAAACAGAAGACATGCAGTTAGTAGATATATAGTTTTTTTCTCCCCCCAAAAGCCAAATATATATTCTTCTCCAATGCACATGGGACATTCTCTAAGATGGGACATTCTCTAAGATAAGCCAAATGTTGGGCCACAAAACATACCTCCATAAAATCAAGAGGATAGAAATTGTGTCAACTATCTTCTCAGATCATGATGCACTGAAAATAGAAGTTAATCACAAACAGAAACAGAAAATTAAATAAAACGCCCGAAAAATAAACAGCTTACTACTGAATAACCAGTGGGCCAGAGAAAATCAAAGAGTAACTCAAAAGACCCTTGAAACAAATGAGAAAGAGGACATGAGTTACTAGAACTTAGAAAACAGCAAAAGCAGTGATAAAAAGAAGGTTCCACAAAAATAACCTGACACAGCTTAAGAAATTAAAAAATGACCAACAAAAGAAGCCCAATCAAAATAAGAGCAACGAAATCATAAAATTTAGAGCAGAAATGAATGAACTGGAATCCCAAAACACAATTCAGAAGATCAATGGAACCAAGAGCTGGTTCTCTGAAAAAATAAACAATACTGATAAGCCACTAGCAAGATTCATGGAGAGAGAGAGGGGAGTAGGGAGAGAAAGAGGGGAGTTAGGGGGACGGAGGGTGGCGGGAGGAAGAGAACTCTAATAAACCAAGTCAGATATGAAAGGGGGATATCACAACAGGTAACACAGAAATTCAAAAAACCATCAGAGATTACTTTGAAAATCTTTATGCTACAAAACAATAATAGAAATACAAAACAATAATAGAAAAAGAAAAAACTACAGGCTGAGGAGTACAGATACAAAGATCCTCAACAAAATACTGGCAAGAATGAATCCAACGACTCATCAAAAAAGATCATACACCATGACCAAGTAGGATTCATCTTAGGAATACAAGGATGGTTTTACATATACACAAGTCAATCAACATATTCACCAGATAAATGAAAGAAAAAAATTATATGACCATATCAAGAGATGCAGAAAAAACATTCGACAATGTTTTGAAAACAGCAAAAGCAGTGATACAAAGAAGAATGTGTATCAGCACGCATTCATGATAAAAACTGTCCAACAAAATGGGAATTGAAGGAGCTTCCCTTAATGTATTCAAAGCCATTTACCTAAAGAGCACAGCAAACTTTATACTCAATGAGGAAAAATTGAAAATATTCCGCCTAAGATCAGGCACAAGACAAGATTACCCACTTTTGCCACTTCTATTCAATGTGGTACTGGAAGTATTTGCCATGGCAATTAGGCAAGAAAAAGATATGAGGGGCATCCATGTAGGAAAGGAAGAAGTCAAGCTCTTATTATTTGTGTACAATATGATACTATACCTAAAAATCCTAAAGACTACAAAATACCTCCTTAGAAACAATAGATTTGTATAGTAAAGTGGCAGGCTACAAACCACAACACCCAAAAGGAGAGCGAGAACAAAGGGGAATGCCCTGCCACAGAGGCAGGGTGGGATGGGGGTGGGGGATGAGGGGTGGGAGAGATGCTGGGATCCGTGGTGGTGGGAAATGGGCACTAGTGGAGGGATGGGTATTTGATCATTGTATAATTGAAACCCAAGCACAAAATTTGCAAGTGTACAACTGTACCTCATGGTGTCTCACTAATAAAAATTTAAAAACAATTATTTAAAAAATTTTAAGAAATGTGTAAAAGTCCATGCTTTCCTATACACAAATAATGAAAGAGAAGAAAGAGATACTAAACAATCCCATTCATAATTGTGCTTCAGAAAATTAAGGGCCTTGGAATCAGCTTAAATTGGTGAAAGACCTATACAAAGAGAAGTACAAACACTTCAAGAAATAAAAGAGAACAGGGGCTGGAGCGATAGTACTTCAGGTAGGGCATTTGCCTTGCACATGGCTGACCCGGGTTCGATTCCCAGCATCCCATATGGTCCCCTGAGCACCACCAGGAGTAATTCCTGAGTGCAAAGCCAGGAAGTAACCCCTGTGTATCACCGGGTATGACCACCCACCCCCCCAAAAAAAAGAAAGAAAAAGGACATAAAGAAGAAACACGGGCCTTGTGCATGGATTGGGAGTATTAACAACATGAAAATGAATGACAACACCCCCCAAAGCACTGTACAGATTAATGCAGTCTCAATAAAGATACCCTTGACATTTTTCAAAGAAATAAATCAAACATCCCTGAAGTTCATATGGAACAATACCCCCTGAATAACTGAAGAATCACTTTCCCCAACTTCAAACTTTACTTTATATAGTGATTAGTAATTTAAACAGTGTGGTATTGGAATAAAGATGAACCCTCAAATTAATGGAATAGAGTTGAATATCCTGAGACAGACACTCAGGTATATAATCAGTTAATGTTTGGTAAAAGAGCAAAATATTTGAAATGAGGAGCAAAGAAAGCCACTTCAACAAGTGGTGCTGGGAAAATTGGTCAGCTACATGCAAAAAAACTCAGACCTCTTTCTAAGCCATTCAGAAGACTCAAATCAAAATGAATCCATAAGGTATACAGAGGAAAACGTAGGCAGAAATCCCCCTAACATTGAAAGGCATCTTCGTCGATTAGGCACCACTGACCATGCAAGTGGAAGCATAGATAAAGAAATAGGAATGTATTAAACTAAGAATCTTCTGCACCTTGGGGCTGGATCTGGAGAGATAGCACAGCGGGTTGGGTGTTTGCCTTGCACGTGGCTGACCTGGGTTCAATTACCAGCATCCCATATGGTTCCCTGAGCACCGCCAGGAGTAACCCCTGCCTCAAAGAAATACAAATGGCCAAAGGCACATGAAACAAATGCTCTATATCACTGATCATCACAGGGATGCAAATCAAAACAATAATGTAATATCATCTCACAGCAAAGAGACTGGCAAACATCAAAAGAACAAGAACAACTAGGCTGGGTGGACGTGGGAAGAAAGAGACTCTCATTCACTGTAGATGTTGGAACACAGACTGGTCCAACATTTGGAAAATATGAACATTTCTCAAAAAAGTAGAAATTGAGCTCCCATGTGACTAAGCAATACCACTCCTGGGAATACACCCCAGGAGCCCAAAAATACAGTAAGGGAAAGCTGTCTGCACTGCTTTTCACAATTTCTGTCTCAGGATACTCAACTCTACTCCATTAATCTGAGGATTTATCTTTATTCCAATACTACACTGTTTAAATTATTATCACCTTATAGTAAAGCTGCCTGCAGCACTCTTCATGGTAGCCAGAATCTGGAAACAACCCAATGTCTGAGAACAGATGACTGGATAAAGAAACTATGGCACATCTACACAATGGAGTTCTACACAGTCATTAGGAAAAATGAAGTCATGAAATTTGCTTATAAATAGATGGACATGGAGAGTACCATGCTGCATGAAATGAATCAGAGGAAGAAGGACTGACATAGAATGTCATCTGTGGAATATAAAGAAATATAATAGAAATATAAAAGAGTGAGAATAAATATGTCAGTCATAGTAGCAATTTGTGGTGGGGGTGTGTGAGGGAAACTGGGTACTCTGGCAGCAGAAAATACACTCTGGTGAAGTAATTTTTTTAAATGCTTATGTGACTTGACCACTGAGTACTGCATTTACTCATGGCATTTATGGTTGCCCTCTACTAGATTAAGAAAGATCTGTTTATTCCTAGCTTGCTGAAGGATTTATACTTTTCAAATGAATTGATGTTTCATTTACACTGCATGCTCTATCCAGGTGACTTTTTCACATCTTACAGGGAAGTTTATGAAGAACTTTTATTTACTAATGTGGATACCTAAGCTTTATCTATAGTATTTTCTAACATTAAACCAATGTTATTTATTTATTTTTAATTTTTTTATTTACTTACCTTTTACCTTTTTTATTAGCGAAACACCATGAGGTACAACTGTACACTTACAAATTTTTGTGCTTGGGTTTCAGTTATACAGTACCATCCCTCCACCAATGCCCATTCTCCACCACCAATGATCCCAGTATCCCTCCCACCCCCCAACCCCTCGCATCCCACCCGCTTCTGTGGCAGGGCATTCCCTTTTGTTCTCTCTCTCCTTTTGGGTGTTGTGGTTTGCAAAAGAGGCATTGAGTGGCAATCATGTTCAGCATGCATCTCCCATCCTAAACCAATGTCCTTTTAAAGAATAAAACACGTTTATAGGCCTATTTAGGTATTTCCTTAAGATTTATTCTCTTCTTACTCTTATTAAATTGTATATATAGAGAGGGTTAACCTATTTCATATACATTTTAAAATTCATCAGCATAGCAAACTAGCCATCTTACTAATTTTATAAAATTTACATATCCATAAAGATAGTTTTTAAAAAATGTAGTTTTAATCAACCTATTATTGATTTACAATTTTGTAAATTTTGGAATTTCAGTTTCGCTTTATCTGTGTGTCTGCAGTTGTTACCACCTTCTTAATAAATTTTAAAATCAGTCTCTGAAAAAATAATGCTTCAGTGAATGAATGCATTAAGTACAAACTTGGACCATAAAGATTCCAAATAACCAATGATTCTACACCCCTCTGCTCCTTAGCAATGTTTAGCACTTCCTCAGAGATTTAATTGGCAAAAACTGGTAAAACAAGCAACCAATGCTTCTTCCTTATATTCTGGAATTATTGTAAATTAAAGGGAATTATTTTACTTACTCATTTCTTCTTGCAGGGTTTCTTGTTTTTGTTTTTGAATTTTTATTTCTTGTTCCAAATCTTCTATCTTGCTGTTTTTATTAATTAGCTTTTGATTTAGTTCTTTCACCAAACGTTCATAATCAGCTATTTCCATGTTCATCAACGTAGTTTGCTGGGCATCCTGCACATGTAATAGATAAAAATCTACATACAAGCTGAGGAGGCGCTCAAAGAGCCAGTGCACACGTATTCTGGTGTTCCCAAACACTGAACTGAAGTAACTCTGAACACTGTAAGGAGCGTAAAAAATCAAAACCAAACAAACAAAAATTCACAAAATACCAGATCAGTCTTTTTTTGGGGGGGCGGGGGGGGATGGAGGGGAGGAAGAGGAGGGCTTGAGGCAAGAATCGAGGGAACTCTGAGCAGTACTCAGAGGGCCTGGAGGGCCCTCCCTGTAATTCTGGGTCAACAGGAACACACTGAGGCTGGGTTGAGCCGTACTAGAAGTGCTTGGGGTGAGGGGGGTGTGGGGGTGTGGGGGTGTGGAGTGGACATACCCAGGGGGATTCCTGTGGAACATGGGTCATTTGCATAAAGGCCATGGATGATCTAGCCAGACCCAGTAAAATTTCTTTGGTAAAAGATCAAAAATGATGCCACAGGAGTAAAGCTTTCACTTTGCTTTTTAAATGTGATTTTTAATCTTTTTAGTAATAGAAACTTCATGTGTTAAAGAAAAAATTAGGGGCTGGATCGATAGCATAGCAGTTAGGGCATTTGCCTTGCATATGCGGCCAACCAGACATCCCACATGATTCCTCCGAGCATCGCCAGGAGTAATTTCTGATTCTTGAGTACAGAGCCAGGAGTATTCCCTGTGCATCGCCGGGTGTGACCCAAAAAGAAAAGAAGAAATTAGAAGTTGATGCTTTTTAGTTATAATTTTGTAAGAGGGGGTCAGAGCAATAGCACAGTGGGTAGGGCGTTTGCCTTGCATGTGGCCAACCTGGGTTCGATCCCTTCAGGAGTAATTCCTGAATGCAAAACCAAGAGTAACCCCTGAGCATTGCTGGGTGTGACCCAAAATGCACATATATATATATATAAAAAATATAATTTTGTAAGATAACATATTTCACAATAGTTGAACCACACATAGTCCTCTGAATACTACCAGGAGTTAGTCTTCAAAAATAAAGTATTTCTCAATAGTTGAACTATATACAGTCCTCCAAGTACTGCCAGGAATAAGTCATGTATCAAACCTTATTGTTATTATATATCAACCCTTATTTAAGGTTTGGAGAGATAGCACAGTGGGTAGGGCACTTGCCCTGCACATATCATATATACCTTAAATAAGGATTGATATGATTGTTATCAAAATTTTATAATTTCTGAACCTAGAATCTTCTGGAGAAAGAACTCAGAGAAATAATTTAAAATTTCAATTTTGAGGAGGTAGGGCGTTCGCCTTACAAGCGGCCAACATGGCCGACCCGAGTTCGATTCCTCCGCCCCTCTCGGAGAGCCCGGCAAGCTACCGAGAGTATTCGATATGCCAGACACAGTAACAACAAAGTCTCCAATGGAGACGTTACTGGGCCCGCTCGAGCAAATCGACGATCAACGGGAGGGCCTTCAATTTTGAGGAAAGCAATTTAAAAAACTGGGGGGTTGTGTGGGGGTTTGGAGCACACCTCAGGGGTTACTCCTGACTCTGCACCTCTGCACTCAGAAACTCCTGGTGGTACTCAGGGAACCATATGGGATGCCGGGGATTGAAGCTGGTTGGCCTCATACAAAGCCAGTGTTCTGCCTGCTGTACTATCTCACCAGCCTGAACAATTGATTTATTAATATTATGTTTTCACAAATAATCATTTTGAAATACTTCTCTCTCACCTTTCTAACAAGCTCTAATTCTTGCATGGTTTTCTGAAACTGTTTCTTTTCATTTTGAAGCTGGAGCTGAAGTTCTCCAAGTTCACTTACAGAAATGGCATGCTCCTAAAATTAAAAATAACCCCCCACAACCAATGAACATTACTATAAAATCAATCAGCATTTTTCAACCTCAGTCCATAGGCAGGAAGGTTGAAAAACCACTGATCTACGCAATTATAGTCTGGAACCAGCATGCAGGACAGGTGTAAATGGTTGAAAAACATTGAAATACTAAAATATAAATAATTTCCAAAATCTACATAATTTACATATATACTCTCAAATCATACCTTACATTCTCAAATTATAGATGACACAGATTCAATAATTCAACACCAATTTACTAATTAATGCTACTTGTTAGTCTTTTCATTTAAATAATATGTGGGAAAAAAATAACACTATACAACATGAATTAATTCCAGGGGACTGTTTTTACCTTTATTTTCTGCTCTTTCTGAAGTTTTTCAGCTTCTAACTCTTTGTCCACCATTGCTTTGGCTCTTTGAACTTCTAAAATCTGTACTTCTAGTAACTTGGAATTAGACTGTAAAGTCTCAATACGAGCTAGGAGATCTTCATTATCAGAATTTAATTTTTCACACTAGAATGACAAATATTTAATTACTGAATAGGCGGAAAATATATGCAGGAGAATAAGTATAAAAGGTTCATAGTATGAAAAGACAGAGTTGGAAACGATCATTTTGGATAGGAACTGAGTGTTGAAAGTAGATAAAGGGATATACCTGATAACCTTTCATTTTCTGTACTGTAAACCATAAAACCCAAAGGGGGATGGGGGAGAGGAGACAGAGAGAAGTGGGGGGACTGCCTGCCACAGTGGCGGGGGGGGTGAGGGGGGACTGGGGGAGGCAGAGGATGGGAGGGAAACTGGGACCACTGGTAGTGGGTGTTGGATCATACATATTGGAACATTATAGGACTGAGATCCAATAATAAACAATTTTGTAATTGTGCTTATCACTAAATCAAAAATTAACAAAAAAAGAAAATATGAGCAATGTCTTTTAAATGTACATTACCAGAATACATTTCAACAATTAAAAGAAAAGAGATTGAAAAATTGATCCCAGGGTCTGGGAAGACAGCTCACACAGTCCTAGGTTTAATCCCTAGTACTGCACGGTCTAGAGAACCACTGGAGAGAGAGGTGGGCACTAAGTCAGAAGTATCCCCTGAGCACTACTGGGTTACTCAATCTTTCTTTCCACCCCAACAAAAATTTATTCCACAGAATATCAACGTAAAGTCAGTAGGGCTGGAGAGAGAATACTGGGATAAGGCGCATACCTTGCTGGGGGCTGACCCTAGTTAGAGCCCTGGTGGCACTTAACATGGCCCCTGAGTACAACACGGAGTAACTGCCTCAACAGAAATCAGAAATAGCTCTTGGGTAACAAAAGGTGTGGCTCCCAGCCCCAAAATAAATAAAGAGTAAGTTAACAGCATTATTACTGTGGATTTTAATTTAAAAAACAATGTATGACAGAAACACTGGCAGAGGAAGAGACAGAAATGAAAAAACAAAACTCAGGCCAGGGATTTATGGTAGAGTAATATGTGTACAAGGCCCTGGGTTAGAACCCTGACACTGCAAAACAAAAGCCAAATTCCTCAGGGGGAAATTAATCTAAAATAAAATAGGAGAGTTTCTAGTTGTTAGCAATAGTAGCAGAAAAAAGTTTAGTTTGATATTACTTTTTTTTTTTTTTAATTTTTGGTTTTGGGACCACACAAGGCAATGCTCAGGGTTACTCCTGGCTTTGCACTCAGAAATTACTCCTGGTAGTACCTGGGGACCATATGGGACGCTGGGGATAGAACCCAGGTTGGTCGCATTCAAGGCAAACACCCTACCAGCTGTGCTATGACCCCTGCGCCAATTATCATGCCAAAAAACAAAGCTGAAAGAACTTGTTAGCTTTCTTTCCTTTGGGGGAGGGAAGAGGGGAGGCTCTCATGTGCCAACAGACCTGTTGAGAGCAAGGGCTTGAGCACACCAGGCTGCATGGCAGCATGTTGGATCTGCACCCTAATCACTGTGCTATCATGGCCCCTATATTAAAGTGAAAGTTACCTGAAAAGTCAAATTCTTTAACTGTCGAGTAAGGTCTCCTATATGGCATTCAAAATTATTAGCGCGTTCTTTTTCCACATCCAACTGTTCAGATTGTTTGTCATATTCTAATAGGAGATTCTTCAAAAGAAAACAAAAAGATTTAACTCTATATTATTATATGCTAACAAGTCAGATTGTACTATCAAGCCACCATAAATCTACATTTTTTTTTTCCTTCTTAGGTCATGCCCAGTGATGCTCAGAGGTTACTCCTGGCTCTGCACTCAGGAATTACTCCTGGCGGTGCTTGGGGGACCATATGGGATGATGGGGATTGAACCCAGGTCGGCCATGTGCAAGGCAAAACACCCTCCCCTCTGTACTATCGCTCTGTCAACCCTTGATATCTATCTTGAGTTATATATAATATTTGCTCAAGTTAACATTTGATAGAATACCTGACATTATGTAATATAATTTAAGTAACTCTGGGGACTTTTAGTATAGGCAAGAAGTTAAGAAATTTCTCATTACTCCCCTCTCCGTAATTTCACGCATACTGTGCATTAGAACATCCATCCTCACAAGAGTAGCTGCATGTTACACTGATATATATTTGCCAGGAAGTTCATAGTTTACATTAGGGGTCACTTTTTCCCCCTTTTCTGTTTTTAGGCCATACATGGTTGTGCTCAGGGATCATTCCTGGATAAACACATGCAGTGCTGGGGACTGCACCAGAGACGGCATGTGTGAGGCCATGCCTTGACATGTGTGCAATTTTTCCTGTTCAAGGGTAACTTAGTATTGTACAGTTCATGCATTTGAATAAATAATTTATCCCATAGGTCCTAAAAATCCCTGTACTTCTACCTTGTAACCTTTTTCTTCTCATAGTCACAGGAACCACTGGCTTTTACATAAAGAGTATTCAGTTACGTGTTTTCCAGAGTGTCATGGTAGACTTTTCAGATTTACTTATTTTACTTAATAGTAGCTTTTACCTAAGATTTTCCATATCGTTTATCTGTTAGCTAATTTCTTTTTTTAAGTGCCAAACAGTATTTTATTGTCTAGATCCACAACACTTTATTTTACTACTGAAGACCACTTGGTTGCTTCCAAGTTTTGGCACCTACAAATAAAGTTGCTTGTAAACATCTATGTACAGGTTTTTGTGCTAATATAAAGTTTTGAACTTCACTGCATAAATAACAGGAGCATAGCTGTTGGACCATATGGTAAGTATTGTTTAGTTTTTTTAAAGAAACTGCCAAATTTCTCTCAGTGGCTGTGCCATTTGGAAAACAGCATTTTTTTTTTTTTTGGAGAAACCAAGAGGTATACAGTGCTATTCTCACTGTCACCTTAGTTTTCATTTCCCTGATAACATATGGAGTAGCACTGTCTTCCTGTTGTTCATCGATTTGCTCAAGCGGACACCAGTACCGTCTCACAACAAATTGTGAGACTTGTTACTGTTTTTGGCATAACGAATACGTCACGGGTAGCTTGCCAGGCTTTGTCGTGTGGATGAGATACTCTTGGTAGCTTGCTGGGCTCTCTGAGAGGGGCGGAAGAATCGAACCTGGGTCGGCTGCATGCAAGGCAAACATCCTACCAGCTGTGCTATCACTCCAGCCCAATATATGGAATATCTTTTCATATGTTTACTTTCTTTGACAGGTCTTTGGCCCTTTTTAAAACTAGGTTCTGTTTTGATTTACTTGTTTTTAGTGTTAATACTTTGTATGTCTTGGGATAATGGTTCTTCCAAAATATTTTCTAGTCATATCTTGACATCTTTCAGGAAAAAAAATCTTCATTTTCGTAAGTATAGATCACTTTTTTTCATAGACCATAACATTTTTTGGTGTTGATATAAACAAATTATTGCTGGGCTGGGGAGATAACTCCAAGAGCTAAAGCACATGCTGTGCATGTAATAGACCTGGGGTTCAGCATCCCCAGGAGTGACCCTGAAGCATCAAGCCGGGATTAGCCTCTGCGAAGTGCTAGTGGTAGCCTAACCCCTATCCACCAAAATGTTACTACCAAATCAAGGACATCTTTGATGTTTTCTCCTTATGTCTTTCAGGAATTTCAGTTTTAAATGTAAAACATTTAAGAATATCAACATTTTTAGATAAAGGACCAAACATGATAACCTCTCAGTGTCTGTATTGCAAACCATAATGCCCAAAAGTAGAGAGAGAGTATGGGGAATATTGTCTGCCATGGAGGCAGAGGGTGAGAGGGAAGGGGGGGGGGGTATACCGGGGATATTGGTGGTCAGGAATGTGCACTGGTGGAGGGATGGGTGTTTGAGCATTGTGTGGTTGTAACCCAAACACGAAAGCTTAAAACTATATCATGGTGATTCAATAAAATTAAAAAAAAATGAACCTTTTAAGGCTAATTTTTGTGAAAGATGAGTTGTGTCTAGGACTCACTTATCTGTAAGAGATTGTCTAATTGTTCCAGCACCACCAACTGTTAAATAATACTTTGACCCATTATCAGTGATCAGTTGGCTAAATGTGGATGGGTTTCCAGTCTATTTTGATGCACTGATATTTTTACCTTCTCTTTCACCAGTCTTGAGTGTTTTGGAGGGGTAGGGTGGGGTGGCGTGATGAGGGGAATACTTGCAGAACTTGAGGGTTACTTACAGCTCTATGCTTGGGGTCACTCCTGGCAGCACTCAGGGGATAGATGTGATTCTGGTGAATCAAACTATCTCTCTGACCTCACCAAAACCATTTTTAATTGCTTTAGCATGATAGGGTATAATCCTTCATGTATGACTGAAATGTAATCATGAAAGTTTGTAAGTCTGATGGGAAGTATCATGCTAAGTGAACTGAGTCAGAAAGAGAGGGACAGACATAGAAGGACTGCACTCATTTGTGGAGTATAAAACAACATAACACGAGGCTGACACCTAAGGATAGTGGATATATGGGACAGGTAGATTGCTCCATAGCTGGAAGCCTGCCTCATGAGCAAAGGGAAGAAGGCAGCTGGAATAGAGAAGGGATCACTAAGAAAATGATAGCTGGAGGAATCGGTTGGGATGGGAGATGTGTGCAGAAAGTAGATAAAGGACCAAACATGATAACCTCTCAGGGTCTGTAGTGCAAACCATAATGCTCAAAAGTAGAGACAGAGTATAGGGAACATTGTCTGCCAAGGAGGCAGGGAGAGAGCAGGGAATGGGGAGTATACAGGGATATTGGTGCTGGGGAATGTGCACTGGTAGAGGGATGGGTGTTTGATAACTGTGTGATTGCTACCCAAACATGAAAGCTTGTAATATCTCATGGTGATTCAATAAAATAAAAAGCTTTAAATAAAAAAAATTGTATATCTGTAACTGTATCTCACAGTGATTCATTAAAATTAAAAAAAATTTTTTGAGAGATTTATTTATTTATTATTAGTGAAATACCACGAGGTGCAGCTGTAGACATACATATTTTTGTGTTTGGGTTTCAGTTATACAATGATCAAGGATCCATCCCTCCACCAGTGCCCATTCTCCACCACCAGTGAACCCAGTAGCTTCCCCCCCCTCCCCCACATACACATCTATGGCAGGGCATTCCCTTTTGCTCTCTTTCTTTTAGGGTGTTGTGGTTTGCAACAGAGGTTTTAGTGATCATCGTATTTGATCTATAGTCTACTTTCAGCATGCGTCTCGCATCCCGAGCGAGTCCTCCAAACACCCCTTACTCGGTGTTCCCTTCTCTATCTGAGCTACATTTTCCCCCAGCATGTGCTGCCGCTTCCAAGCCATGAAGCTGACCTCCTGGTACTTATTTCAACTATTCTTGGGTGTTTGTCTCCCATTCTGTTACTTTATATTCCCCAGATGAGCGCAGTCTTTCTATGTCTGTCCCTCTCTTTCTGACTCATTTCACTTCACATGATACTTTCCATTTAAAACCACTTGTTTGCAAATTTCATGACTTCATCCTTTCTAACTGCTGCATAGTATTCCACTGTGTAGACGAACCAAAGTTTCTTTAACCAGTCATCTGTTCTCGGGCACTTGGGTTTTTTCCAGATTTTGGCCATTGTGAACAGTGCAGCAATGAACATACAAGTGCAGATGTCATTTTGACTACACTTTTTTGCTTCTCTGGGATACATTCCCAGGATTAAAAAAAAAAGATTTAAATCTTTACAAAAAGGATATGTATGAATCCTTAGTCATATCTCCATGTTTATTATATATATGTGTATATATGTCAACTTCTCTTTTCCTTTTTAATTTTGTTTGGGATTGTACTTGAAGTTACTCAGGAGACCCTATTTGGTATTAGGGATCTGAACTGGGGTCAGTGTGCAAGGCAAGTGGCAAGTGCCTTAACCCCTGTTCTATCTCTCCTTGGCCCTTTTCTTTCTTAAACTTTTAAATTTAGAAAAGTTTTTTTTTATGTCCAAATATTTCATTCTAGGATTAAAAAAACTTTCAGTCTTAACAAAACTTCAATCTATCAAGAATTTATTTTGGTTTGTGAATGAAGTGATAATCTACTAAAGGGATGGAAAGATTGCTAAACTAGCTGAGCACGTTTTGCATAAGGGAGCTATGGGTTCAATCTCTGGCACATGGTCCCCAAGTAACCCCTTAACACAGAACCAGTGAGCACAGGAGGGGCACCTGGGACTACCAGGAATGACCCTCAAACGCAAAATCTAACTAGATTTTTCTGAAATAGTTTTTCCATTCCATCTCCATTGTTTTATTGGAATTGTACAGCTTGGTTGGTAAAGACTAGCCCTTGGTACTAAAGAGATCCCTTGGCTGAGCATATGATTCGCATGCCTGAGGCCTGAGCTTGATGCCTGCACTGTGTGGCTTCTCAGGAAGGAGCCTGTACACTGCCAGGCATGCCCCATGCCTGCCCCAAGTCGCTTCACCTACTTTTCCTCAAATTTATCAGTACGTTGATAATGGTGACAATGTATTTCTTGGGATTATTTTGAAAATTAAGTGAAGTAAGTGTTAAGACAGCCTGGCCTGTGACTGAGTGCTATTACATAGAAGCATTTATATATGTGTAGTCAAATGAAGTTTTATTTTTGCATTAAAACTATACCTTATTATTGTATTTATATAATACATTTTAATGCCTACTAGACCAAGATGTTCCTTTTCTATTTCTTTCTCTCCCTATCTCTTTTCCGGAATAGTACCAGGAACTGAACACAGGGCCTCACACATGCACACCACACTATAAAATATTTATTTTTTAAATGGATTTTTTATAAATAGTCTATTAATTTTATTTATTTTTGGTCTTTTCTGGCTCACACCTGGCGATGCTGAGGGGTTACTCCTGGCTCTGCACTCAGGAATTATTCCTGGCGGTGCTCAGGGGACCATATGGGATGGAGGGTATTGAACCTGAGTCATCCACAAGGCAAATGCCCTACCTGCTGTACTATCACTCTGGCCCCTAAAATAACATTCTTCCTAGTTTATTTTCCATTTGAAACTTGGAACTGTCACACTTTCCCAGCCAAAAAAGACAAAATTTTAGAATTTTAGTGAATCTACTTTCAAGCTGTAAACCAACTAAGTACTCCCAATATTTTAGCCATCCTATTATGCCACTTCTTAAAGTCCTAAGAAGGTAAGAACTTAGTCAGCTGGGTTGAACACCATCTCTCCAGTACTGTCTATTAAAATATTTTCTGAGATGAAGCTGACCTCCACTACCCAACCACTGCCACACTCCAGGCTGCTTCCGGACACTCGAGCCAAGCCTCATGAAGGAGTGAAGTCCCACGGAACCCATGTAATGCGGAACTTTGTGACCCTGGACTCTGGACTCAATGGACCGGGAGCAGAGATCCTCTGCCTGCTTCCCTCAGTCTCCAGCGACCCATGGGTCATACCCATAAGCAACACCCTGCCGGCACCAGATACTCTCCTCACTGACCACCCTCCAGAACTCATGGCTGCTCCTCCCAGACGGGAGTATAAAATGAGGACTCCATAACCATGCCACTGGACTCCGTGCCAGGCTGTTTTCATTCGGAGCGCCTGGAGGGGGCCCCAAGAGACCCAGCCCTAGCAGCTGACCTGCACTACCCAACCACTAACACGCTCCAGGCTGCTTTCCAGACTATGCACACCATAAGACACTTCTTACCCATTTTCCATAATTACCACATCATGTTTGATGGAGTTCAAACAGTAGGCATAAATCATAGAGAGAAATATATAGAATAATAGACAGAAATCATACAAATATATATATATATCTTGGAGAACCCGGCAAGCTACTGAGAGACAGAGTATCCTGCCCACATGGGCAGAGCCTGGCAAGCTCCCCATGGCGTATTCGATATGCCAAAATCAGTAACTATAACAGGTCTCACTCCCCTGACCCTGAAAGAGCCTCCAATCGCTGGGAAAGACAAGTAAGGAGAGGCGGCTAAAATCTCAGGGCTGGAATGAATAGACGTTACTGGCATCCGCTTGAGTAATTCTACGAACAACGGGATGACCGTGATACAGTATTACAGAAGTTGAAAATAAGGTTTTTTTACCTTATAGCTTTCTGCTCCTTGAATGAGTTCTCTCATGGATGAAGACAACTGATCCTTTTCTGATCTAACAGATTCAAGCTCTTCCCGTAGCACCTGGGCCTATAAAAATACAATATAATACAATAAAGAATTAATAAACAGAAAATAATTTGATTTTCTAAACTATAAGGACCTTGAATCTTGTATTTAAAAATTAACTTTACCTCTTTTCTGCTAGAATCTAGTTCTTTCTTTGCCTTCACAGCTACCAGTTTAATCTTACTTATTTTCTCCTCTTTCTCTCTGGCTTCTTTTTCTAGACATCCTGAAAGCATAAAAGAATTACACATGATTAAATATGAATTCAGAAGGAAAAAAATCAAATTATTTTAGTAACAGAAACTGATTCTTTATCTGGAACACAAAACCTGCAATTTGAAATTAAAAGAAAACATGCAGCAAAACAATCCTATATTTCTTTGTAGGGGCTGGGGAGCTGGCTCAAAGGGACGAAGCTCATGCGAAAGGCCCTGACTATCTTCTGCACCAGATAGCTCTTTAAATACTCCCTGGAAAGTAATCCTGGAGTAGGCACTGAGAACTACTAAACGTGCCTCCCCTAATTAATATCATTAATTGTCATTTTAGTTTGGGGGCAAACCCAGTGGCATTCAGGAGCTACTCCCAACTTGGCATCCACTCCTAGAAGGTCCTTGGATCCATGAGGTACCAAGGACCAAACCCGTGCCTTGAGCATGTGCTCTGCCCTTTAAGCGATCTCTCTGGCCCCATCATCTTTTTTTTTTTCTACACATTTTCTTGGTAGGGCTGGAGCGATAGCACAGCGGTAGGGCGTTTGCCTTGCACGCAGCCAACATGGTCGACCCGAGTTCGATTCCTCCGCCCCTCTCGGAGAGCCCAGCAAGCTACTGAGAGTATCTCGCCCACATGGCAGAGCCTGGCAAGCTCCCCATGACGTATTCGATATGCCAAACACAGTAACAACAAAGTCTCCAGTGGAGACGTTACTGGGCCCGCTTGAGCAAATCGATGATCAACGGGAGGGCCTTTATTTTCTTGGTGGCCTCAATGTTATGGTTTTTATTTTTAAAAAAATGGTTTTGCTGCCTGAAGGCTCCTCCTGATTCAGGGCTCCTGGAAGCATCTGCAGGGACTAAACTCAGGCCTCCCACATGCAAAGCATGTGTTCCAGGGTCCAACCCTCAGAATTATTTCTCTGGTTCTCAATCTCACAGCTTTTAATATCAACTATAATATTTATTATAGTTTTTATTTTATTTTGCTTTCTGGGACACACCTGGCAGTGCACAGGGAACTACAGGATACCAGGAATTGAACTGAGGTTGGCCACCTGCAAGGCAGGTGCCCAAACTCCCATTTCCTCAGCCCCAAATTATGAACTCTATCCCTAGCTTTCTCCCTTTAATTCCAGACTTGCATGTTTGTCTACTTGTCATGTCTACTTAAACTGATATCTAGTTGTCTGAAATTGAGTTCCTAAATGGGACTGCATCAATATAAAAGTTTCTGCATGGTAAAAATTTCTCAGACACCCATTCCTGGCGGAGACCTCTGGGACAATCTTGGTGGGGGCAGCTCTCATCCAACCAAAGCCCAGACAGCTGCACCAAAGCCCAAATCCACTGATGCTCTCGACAGACTCCACTGCCTCAGAACTGAGCCCCACAGAGAACCTAACCTGTCAAAACTTCAGAAATGTGGGGGATTTTGGCAGAAAATTCCAGGCCTTCTCAGGGTTTGGAGGGGCAGCCTCATCGTACCTCCTCATTCTTCTAGAAGCCCTGGCAGCCATAAAAAACACTACCATTCCCGTTAAATTCTGCCCAGTTAAATATTCTCTGTTTTCTGGAGCGCATGGCCATGACATCTCCAAACTGTACAAAACACTGCCATCCCAGTAGTAGCATACCAGATGGGATCGGATATAACGTGGAAGTCAACCAATCTTGGCTATCCAAAAAATTAACACTGAAGGCTTAACTTGCAACAACAGATTACTAAACTCTCAGATAAGGATTAATGTCCCCATACTGAGATACAATTATTTTCTACAGAATCAATCGTCTATGGAAATATTTTTGATCATTACATTAGCCATTTATTGGTAACAAGCAATATGGAATTATTTGGGCCTGCTATAGAGACAGGCTTGAGGGGTGGTAGGGAATAAAGAGACAATGATGGAGGGAAGGTGACAGTGGTGGTGGCATTGGTGTTGGAATATTAAATGCCTGTAACAAATTACGACTAACTTTGCAAACCATGGTGTTAAATAAAGTGGGGAAATTTTTTTCTGTATAGGAAAAGAAACACAGACTAAAAGTAAAACACACCAAATAGAATGGGAAAACATAATTGCCTTTAACACCAAATAAAAGGTTAATAGTGAAGATACAGAGAGCACTCACAATGATCAAAAACAACAAAATAAAGACATTATCGAAAACTGGAAATAGGAAATAGACTTCTCTGAAGATAGACAAATGGCCAATAGATACATGAAAAAGTGCTATTGTCTCTTGTTAGGGAAACTCAAAAATGACAATGAAATGTCTCACACAAGTGTGAATGGCATATGAGTGTGCGTGCACACACATGCATACACACGCGTGCGCATACGCGCATACACACACACACACAAACTGGGAACAAACTATTGACAGGGGTGTAGTAAACAGGAACTCTTGTTCACTGCTACTGGGATGTTGTCTGGTTCTATCCCTATGGAAAACTGTATGGACATTTCTCAGAAAATAAAGCTGCCATATGACTCAGAGATTCCATTTCTTGGTATCTACCACCTAAATACAAAAACACTTATCCAAACTCATTGTAGCACTTAGTACAATAGCTAGACTATGGAATTAACTTAGATATCCAAAGACAAATGAGTGAATAATGAAGGTTGGCACATACACACAATGGAATACTATGCATTTATAAGGAATTATGAAATCCTGCTCTTTGCTGCAACGTGTATTAAACTGGAAGGTATTAAGTCAAAAGAAGGAAAAACAATGGATGGTCTCTAATTTGTAGTATAAAAAACAGTAGGCGGGGCTGGAGCAATAGCACAGTGGGTAGGGCGTTTGCCTTGCACTCGGGCAACCTGGGTTCAATTTCCAGCATCCCATATGATTCCCTGAGCACCGCCAGGGGTGATTCCTGAGTGCAGAGCCAGGAGTAACCCCTGTGCATTGTCAGGTGTGACCTAAAAAGCCAAAAAAAAAAAAAAAAAAATAGAACAGTAGGAATGCAAAGTCTCAAATGTGGGGGCACTAAAATCATCCCTCACCCTAGATTACAGAAATGAGGATAGGGAAGGAAAGAAATCAAGTAGTAGTAAGAAGGTATAGGGGCCGGAGCCAACAGCAACAGGTGCTTTGGCAGTGTAGAGCTGCGGAATATGAACATAACTAGCCAATGAAACTCTAAGCATGAGACTCCAATTACAATAACCAAATTAAAAAACGCCTGTCAAAGAACCTGGGGATGTTGGCGGAAGTTGATACTGGTGATAAGATTGGTGGTGTCATATTGTATACTGAAACTCTTATTATGAACAGCTTTGCAAACCTTAAACATTTTAAAGAATAAAATTGAGTACCTGACCTCATTTCTTTTTTCTTATTTATTTTTTGGCCCGAGCGGGCCCAGTAACGTCTCCACTGGAGACTTTGTTGTTACTGTGTCTGGCATATCGAATACTCTCGGTAGCTTGCCGGGCTCTCCGAGAGGGGCGGAGGAATCGAACTCGGGTCGGCCATGTTGGTTGCGTGCAAGGCAAACGCCCTACCGCTCTGCTATCGCTTTATTTTTTTATTTATTATTTTTTGGCCACACCCAGTGTGACCACGGCTTACTCCTTGCTCTGCCCTCAGGAATCACTCCTAGCAGGGCTTGGGGGATCTTACAGGGTTCTCAGGAATGAATCCAGATTGGCTGTGCTCAAGGCAAGCACCATACCTGCTGTGATGTTGCTCCAGCACTGGCCTCCTTATTTCTCAGTCTACTGCAGAAAAGTGGGAGTTGTTCTAAATTCTTTTACCTTTCCCTCAGTATCACCAATCTGTCTGAGGAATTAAGTGCCTAATATTACGTCCTTGCCTCCCCAGAACTGTATAGCATTCTCCTTGATTTACATGTCAACCTAAGTACCTGCTGTTCGATCTTGTTAAAATACCATTTTCTACATGTGACAAAATTATCATTCTTAAAGACACAAGAGAATAGATAGCATATTTCATGCGTACCCTAATTTAAAACAAGCAATTCATGCTTTTTTACACTGCCTCCATATCTCAAAACCAGTAAAGTTCCAACAGCTCCTGTGGCATCATCTTTAAGAGATGCAGTATTTTATTCACCTATTATAAATGCCGAAATATATAAGCATTGAAAACCTGCTAAATCAATGAAAAACCCGCAGTCCGCACCATTCAGAAACGAAATGATATTTGGGAGGGGTGGCACTAAACAGTGGTTTATGGGTCTCTGCTGTCTTTTTCTTTGTTGACACACCCAGTAGGACTTATCCTTGGTTTTGTGTTCACTTTCTTTATGGATCACTTTTAAAGGTACTTGTTGGGACTACATGTCGTGCAGATATCAAAACAAGATGAGTCACAAAGGCAAGAACCTTATTCCATGTACTATCCCTCGGGGTGACCAGAAAGTGAGTTCTAAAAGGAAAAGAAAATAGATGGTGGAAATGCAAGAAGAGACAGCTACTATGTTTTAAACAAGTCATTACTTCATTACTCTATTTTCCAAACAAAATGTATGTATTTTTGTCATATCCAGTGGTGCTCAGGGTGCCTGTGATATGAGGGACTGAATGTGTGCTTCTTGCTGTTGATCTACCTCTCCAGGCTTCCTACCAATTTGCATTAGGGTACATCTGTGTACATTTGTGTATCTTATTCTAACAATGTACACAAAAACCATTGATTACCTATTCTTTCTTCCAGTTCTTTTAGTGAAGAAGGCTGATCATTTTCTACAGGTGATTTCTGTATGGAATCCTAGATTTTACAGGAAAAACAAAACATCACTTCACTCCCACGATGTACTTGTCATTATATGAAACATGAAAAAAATTATCAGAGAGCATACAAAAAGTAATTTGGTGGTCTTTTTCTTACTTGGTCAAGGTAATACTTATTTTTAATATATATAAATATATATTATTTACTACAAAGATTAGAAGTATTCAAGATCAAGATGAACAACCTGACACATCAAACATGTAAGAATAAATGACTATAATTTGTCATCCTTTGCTAAATTTTATAGAAAACCCTAAAATTTTGGCTAAATGTAAATACCGTCAATAGCCTCCATTTTTGCTCAACATTAAATAATGTAATACATATATTACACAACAGAATATAAACTTTTCATGTTTATCTAGTTTTTCTAGTAGTTTTATAACTTTAACCAAAATTTAGCCCCAGTTAATCAAAACTTATATTTTCTAAAGCTCAGTGATTACGAAAATATATAATGCCTTTCTCAGAAACTTGGCATTTGATCTTAAATGTCAAGAACTTACCAACGACTTCAAAGTGTAAAAATGTTAACGTGTTTATTTTCAAGTCTATGAGTGGAACGAAGAATTCACTTAAACCAATAAATTTCAAATAAATAGTACCTGTAATAGTTTCAACTCTGCTCTCACATCCTGCAATTCATTCTCTTTCTGTTCTAGTAATGGCTTTAGGTTTTCAAATTCCTTCATTAAAGATTTTTCTTTTTCATTAACTTCATTTGTCCTATAAAATTTTTGAGATGCATCTTCAATTTGAAGTAAAAGATCTTGATTTTCAAGCCTTGTTTTTTCATGAGCGTTCTTCATTTCTAACAGATTAAACTGTAGGACCTCTTTTTCTGACAGGGTTTCTTTCGATTCTTTTCTTAAGAGTACATTCTCTTGCTCAGAGTCTCTCAATGAAGACCTAAGTTCCTCACACTGAACTCTGTTTTCTTCTTGAAGACACTTAATCTTTTTCTCTAATTCTATTATTCTTTCATCATATCGAGAAGCCAAATTATGTTTTTCCTCACTTATTTTAGTGAAGGATTCACCTATAGCTTTCAGGACACTTGCAACATCTTGCTCCTTGTCTTCTGAAACCTTTAATTCCATTTGTTTTAAAAATTCATCCAACTGGGTTTTGATAAATAACTTCTGAACTTGCTCATTTTCAAAACATTTATTTAAATTATCTCGTTCTTCAATTGTTAACATAAGTTTCTTTTCTAATTCAGAAATTTGTTCCTTAAGCATAGTATCACCTTCTTTTTGAGAGAGGAGGGCTTCCAAATCCTTACTCAGTTGTTTTTTTTCTAAAGTCAATCTACTATTTTCCTCATAAAGAGATTTCATTTCAGATGACAGCGCTGCCTGGTCTTCAGAGAGAATTTTTAACTGAATCATAAGCTCTTCTACTTTTTTGTCACTTTGATCCTTATCTTTTGAAGTTTCTTCTTGCCTTTCCATTAACTCATTTACTTTTTTTTCTAGTTCACTGTTGTATTTAGTACTTTGTTCCATCTTTTCCCTAAGTTCTATATTCAATCTTTCTTCCCTTTCACATTTTTTATGGAGGTCATCTATTTCTTCAAGAGAACTTTCCATTTTACTTATGAAATCATCTTTTTCCTCAGCAAGAGAACTTATCTTTGCTTCAAATTCTTTTAATATGGCATCTCTTTGACTGAGACTAACTAAATATACTTCATTCTTTTCCTGAAGGTTCTTTATGATACTTTCAAATTCTGGCACAACTTCCTGCTGTGATAACTTTTCATTTTCTCTCTGGAGACGGTTCACAGTTTCAAGAAGAGCATCTTTCTCATTAAAAGCAGTTCTGAGTTTTTGTTGAAGTTCACTAACATCAGATGCTTGCTGCTGCTTCATGGATTCAAACTCTTGACTTATTTTTCCAGCAGATTCCCCCAGTTCTGTTTGTAAAATTTCCATAATCTCTCGCAAACTCTCATAATTTAAAATTGCTTCTTGCTTCTCTTGCTGTAGATTTTCATTTTGTTCCTTAAGACCTCGTATTTCAAACATTAATGCTAACTTTTCTTTTTCTGAATCAGATACAAATGTCTCATTTAGTTCTGACATTTCTTTTTTATGTTCTTCCTTAAGATGCTGTACTTCTTTGTTATGTTGCTCTACAATATGGCAAAGTTGCTTATTTGAATCTTCCAGCTGAGATTTTAACCGTTCAATTACGCAGCCATATTCTTCTTTGGCTAGTAATAATTCATTAATTTTAAATTCTAAATCTTCCCGTTCATGAAAAAATTCATCCTTTATTTGTTGGGCATCAATTTCAAATTTTAATTTAAGATTATTCATGTAAGTTAACTCATCTTTTAAGATACTATGTTGAGACTCCAGTTCTCGTAAAGTGTCTTCTAAGAGTTTGATCTTTTTATTTACGTCTTGTTCATCATCCTGTAAGAGTAAGTAACACGCTTGATTTTCTTGGTCTGCATTTGAAGCTTTCCTTAAGTTTTCTAATTCACATTCATTTTGACACTGAATGTTCTTCTCACTTTCCTCATGTTGTTTGACCATGTGGTCTACATTATCTACTTCTGCTTTGTGTTCTTTAGCAGATACTTTGTTCTGGAACATCAATTTTTTCAGTTCTTCTTGGTGTGTAGCCTGTAACTGTAAAAGTTCTTCTTGCAAAATATTAATATCTTTTTGGTAATGCTGAGAATTAGCTTCAATGACTTCTTGGAGATGAGTAATTTCTTGGTCCTTTTCATCTGTGGCAGCTTCTAATTGCTTTTGCAGATTTAAAATTTGCTCCTCAAACATTGGTCTAATTTTCTCAATCTCTTCTTGTAGTCTTTTAACATTATCTTCAGAGTCATTCTGAAATTTTAGTTGTTCTGAAAGCTCTAGTTGTTTCTTTGTTGCTTCTTCCAGTTCCTTTTGCAAGCTAGCTTTATCTTCACCGTATCTAGTGTATTCCACCATTAATTCATTTTTCAGATTCTCCACTTCTTTCACATAGTATTTTTTTGACTGTTCAAATTCCTTGTGCAAATCTTCCATCTTAATTACAGAATCCTATTTAAAAAAAAAACACACACACATACAGAAATTTTAAACAAAAGAAACTTCACTCCTTAGGAAAAATGTTTGCCTTAGGCTCACTGAACAGAAAAGGAAATAAACAGAAATTAACATAGAGAAATAATATATAATATTGATATTCCAAGAATTTTTTAAGCTCTGGTTTCTGTAAGACAGTAAAAATAGAAGAAATAAAAACATTATTCAAAGTAATAACTAAAAGCTTAAGAAATCTCTGAATTTTACTTTCTTTTGTAATAAATCATGTAAGCTGTGTTGTCATAAAACTGTTATGGATAACTCCAACACAGTCTAAATAAGAGTTTTTGGAAAAATTCAGCCCCTAACCAACAGGCAACTGAATATAGTAGACCTGAACAGATAATGGCATTCAGAGAATGGGTTAGAACCAACTTATGTAAATGCTTTTCTATAAAATAAGTATTCCTTTCAGTTATAAAGAATTACATTAGTTTATAGAGGCTGGAGTGATAGCACAGTGGTAGGGCATTTGCCTTGCACATGGCCGGCCTGTCCGAGCCGCGTTCGGTTCCTCCGTTCCTCTCAGAGAGCTTGGCAAGCTACCAAGTGTATCTCGCCTGCACGGCAAAGCCTGGCAAACGACCCGTGGAGCATTTGATATGCCAAACACAGTAACAACAAGTCTACAATGGAGATGTTACTGGGCCCACTCGAGCAAATCGATAAACAACGAGAGGACAGTGCTACAGTGATACATTAGTTTATAGAAGATAAAATAATAAAGTATTAATTTTACAAGTATAATTGGTTATTTTTCTTTTTGAATATGCTCTTATTTATCACTGTATCACTGTCATACCATTGTTCATCGATTTACTCGAGCAGGCTCCAGTAATGTCTCCATTCGTCCCAGTGCTGAGATTTTTAGCAGCCTCTCCTTACTCGTCTTTCCTAATGCTGCCGTACTAGAGGCTCTTTCAGGATCAGGGGAATGAGACCCATTATTGTTAATGGTTTTGGCATATCAAATATGCCATGGGTAGCTTGCCAGGCTCTGCCGGCTCTTATTTATAAAATGTAAAAATCAAAATTTTTGGTGTTTGCCAAAATTCACACTACTAAGTTAATAAAAAATTAAGGAAAGTATGGTCTCACCTCAGCCTCTTTCTTCATTATAGTATTTTCCTTCCTCAGAGAAAGACATTGCTGCTCAGTCTCTGCTTTTTCCAGAAGAATAGCATCCAGACGTTCAGTCAGGGCCTGTTTTGGTGTATTGAGTATTTGTTTGCATGAGTTAATTATGGAATGACTATAGGCATAATTATCTCATTTGTTTCAAACCATGCTAAAGTAAAACCAAAAGATTAGAAACTATAGGAAATAAATGCTCTGGAACTGGAGGCTACAATATGTCTGGGATTAGCACCCTTAATGTGTCGGGGTTCAAAAATTGGAGATTGATTAATGGACTATCTGAAGAAAGACTGAAGAACTGGTTAGAGTACACAAGAAGTCAGTCATGCCCCTGTTCCTTGAAAGACAAGTTTACTCTGAAGAAATTAAATAAGTAAGGAAATTATTAAGATGGTATAAGAACAAACTCAGAGTATGTTTTCAGAAATAAAAAAGGTAACAAACAAATAAACATTAGCTAGACTGCACAAATAAGCATCTACTATGTCATAAATTACAGAAAATGTTTTATTTGACAACATATAAAAATTAATGCAATGGATTTCAACAGAAAAAGTTTCAATAATTCAAGAAAAAATTTAAAACTATTTAAAAGTCAAACTACAGTTTTAAAGTTGTTTGTTACACATACAGATTAAACACATAGCTTTTAGAGTCCTATAACATTTTCAAAAACTATGTTTTTAAAGACAACACAATGAAAAATTTCCTGAAATATTATTCATTCCTAGGAAACTACAGAAGGATATGAGCTTTGGAAGATATTGAGCTAAGAAAGCTCTCCCAAAGTTAGAATAATTAAGAAGAGTAAATGACATACAGGGGCTAATACAGGAAATCCTGTCTATACAGGAAGCATAGACATTCACAGGATCAAAGCAAAAGACCAATTCCTTGAAAACTGTCGCTCTCAAAAACAATTAGACTAAGTACAAGTGTTCAGGGGAAAATATACAAGATTATTTCAGTTTTTAAAAGTAGGGCTCATTGTGAAAGATGGCTAAACTTTCATTTACTGTAACAGGAATTTAAGAGCTAAATGTCTAAAATAAATCTAATAATAGAGAAATAAGCACATTATACAGAAATGCAGGAGTAATTTCCATGTTATTTAATATTTTCATAAACTATTTGGTACTTTTTTTAAAGTTTTTGGGCATCACCTGATTATGCTTAGGGGTTACTCCTGGCTCTGCACTCAAATTATTCTTGGCGGTGCCTGAGAGTCTGTATAGAATGGGGAGGATGGCATCTGGGTAGGCTGTGTGCAAGGCCAAGTACCCTACCCATTGTACTCTCTCTCTGGCCCCTAGTACTTTTTTTTTTAAAGCTGGCTCAGAAAGAGCTTCATTGGTAATACACTGGAAGTTGGAAGATGGCAAACTCATGTCCTAAAAATAGCCATCTTGTCTGCAAGGATTTGTTACAGGGAAAGAACAGGGAAAAAAGAGTGAACTACAGATAAGGACACAACAGATGGAAAATAAAATCCCCTCCTGGGCTGGTTCTCAGAGTGCACTACTCCCATCTGCTCACAAACCCAAGCTGAAAGTCAGGGGAGGGAAAGCAAAGCCAAGACTACCTTTAGTCTCTGGGGCAAGGACAGGGTAACACTAATCTCTAGCCCAGTTTTAGTCCCTATGGCAGTTCTCTCTTCATTTTCATAGAAGTTGGGTTCTTTGACACTGGAGAGATAGTACAGTCGGCAGAGCACCTGCCTCGCACACTGCCAACCTGCACTCAATCCCCAGCACCACACCAGGAGTGATTACTGAGCACTGCCAAGTATAACCAAAAAAAGGTTGGGTTCTCAAGACAAAGCTACTGCTTTGAATTAAAATAGTGCTTTAACCCTTACCCTGAGATTCTTACGTAAGTGAAACTAGTTTCTTTTTTGGGTGGGGAAATAGAAAGGTTTATTGGAATGCAAAAGGGAAAGGAAAACTACTAGTATAAGAGTAAACATGCATGGCTAATTTTGTAGGTTTTTTTATAGGAAAACTGGGCCTTTGTTCTTTTCTTGCCCACCTCCCACCAACAGTTTCTTTTAATTTTAATTCCCTTGATGGACTATTAATGACAGGGCTTCATACATACAATTTTCCACCACCATACCTTCTACCATTAGATATACCTAATACTTTGGCTAATATGAGTAACTTGATTTAAAAAAATCCCTTTTTTATATATTATATATTGCAGCCCGGCAAACTACCGAGAGTATTCGATATGCCAAACACAGTAACAACAAAGTCTCCAATGGAGATGTTACTGGGCCCGCTCGAGCAAATCGAGGATCAACGGGAGGGCCTTTACCTTTACCTTATATATTGCTGCAGGTAGAGAGAAAAAGGAGCCCTGGGGAAAAACTATCTGGAACCTAAACAAGTCCAAACGCATAAAAGCCTCTGAGATACAAGACTCCTCCTCCAATCCCCCAAAAGGCACTGAGACGCAAACTGCCTGCTCCCGAGTTTCTCCTTTCCTAGAGTAGGCCTGCACTACTATAAAGTTCTTCCTGAGTACTGCTTTTTGTTGTATCCAGGCACAGAGCCCGACTGCACATCTTAGGAGAGGCTCCAAACCTGGAACTAAGATCTGAGGCATAGCACAGCTTGAATGCATACTTTTTTTTTCCACTCTGGAAAAGCCTGCATTCTCTCTTGAACATGCATTTCTCACCCTCCTCTCATTTCCCAAATAAACTTAACCTTACTCACTGTTTGTCTCCTACTGAAATTCTTTTCTGCGAGGGAAGGAAATGGACCTGGAAAGCCTGGGCAGGATTTAGGACTAACCTTCCTTTCCTATAAAGAACAGTTCCTCACTCTACCCTGAGTTTCACAGCTCTCCGAGCAAGGATAATTCCCCACACCATGCAGAAAGAGTGTGATACAGGTGCATTTTGATGGCTGCTGGATGGAGCTGTTAAGATATAAGGTTTGTATTGTGGAGGTGCTCATAGCAAACTGTCATTTCAAAACTTCCCCAGACACTTCCCCATGTAACTGAGATAGACAGAGAATGAGGGAAGCTTCTCCCACTACCTCTGTCATTAGACAGAATCAACTGAACAGAGTATCAGTAAATATACAAAAGCCCTTGGGGCCAGAGAGATAGTACAGTGGGCAGAGCACTTTCCTTGGATATGGACAACCTAGATATGATCCCCAGAATCCCATACAGTCTCCCCCCACTGCACCAGTATAGCCAGGAATGATTCCTGAGTGCAGAGCTGGGAGTAACCCCTGAGTATCATCAGGTGTGCCCCCAAAACACTCCCCCCCCAAAAAAAAAGCCTTAGAAAAATTTACTTTTTTTAAAAAAAGAAAAAAAAACACAGAAGCCCTAAATGAGTTAGTAGAACTCAAATTATTTGACACATATAGAGATTTGATCTTCCCAAAGTATGTGAACTGTCACAGATTCTTCTCTCATGTACAAGGAATGTTCTCCAGGACAGACCACATACTAGGGCGTAATTGAAACATACATAATTTGTTATTACTTGTCTTTATCTTGAAGATGTATTTATTGATTTGAGTTTTTCCTTTCCTGAGTAGGCCTGTACTACTGTGAGTTTCCATCTTCGTATTACTTTCTGCTGTATTCCATAGGTTCTGATAATTTCTCATTATTATTTCATTTGATCCAGTCATTAACTTGAAGCATTTTGAAGCATTTTGTTCAGATTCCAACTGCCGGAACTTTTCCTTATCTCTTTTATGGTTAATTTTACCTTTAAAATTTTTACCTCTCAGTGTTCTGGTCTGAGAGGATACTTGGCATGAATTCTGTATGAATCCTTCCTAACAGCTTCAATGAAGCCAACATCACACTACTTACAAGAGAAGACAGAGATAAAAAGAATATTTCAGATCAATATCCTTGGTCTGAACAGCAATGCAAAAATTCTCAACAGGGGCTTTAGAGAGAGTATAGGTGATACAGTGTTTTCTTTGCAGGCAGCTGACTCTTTGTTTGATCTTTGGTACTGCATATGATTCCCCCAACTATCACCAAGAATGATGCCTGAATGCAGAGTTAGAAGTAAGCCAGAAGCACTGCCAGGTGTGGCCCAAGTACCACTCACCAAAAACAATAAACAAACAAAAAATCCTAGACAAAATCCGGGTGAACAGAGTTTAAAAACATATCAAGGGTCAGAGCTAAAGTATAGTAGGTAGGGATTTGCCTTGCAAGTGGCCAACCTCGGTTTGATCCCCGGCATCCCTTATGATCCCCCAGGCACCGCTTGGAGTAATTCCTGAGCACAGAGCCAGGAGTAACCTTGAGCATTGCTGGGTGTGACCCAAAAAGCAAAAAAAAAAAAAAAAAAAGAAAGTAAAAAAAAGTGCATCCAAAGAATCATGCACCACAATCAACTTAAATTCATTTCATAAATGCAAGGACGATTCAATGTGCTCAAGTCAATTAAATACAGCATATCAACACACAAAAAGATAAAAATTATTTCATAACATTGATAGACACAGAGAATGGTTTTGACAGATTCATCACTCATGACTTTTAGAAGATGCTATAGAAGAAACCTTCCTGAAGCTACTAACAGTTCTCTAAAACAAACTCACAACCAATGTTATTCTCAATGGTAAAAACCACAAAGCATGCAAAGTAAGGTTGTCCACTGTTTTCACTAAGAATCAATATAGTACTGGCAGTTGTAACCACAGCAATTAGGCAAGAAAAAGGAACTAAACATATCCAAATAGGAAAAGTTAAATTATTACTATTTGCAGAAGGCATGATAATACACATAGATCCTAGTTTATTTAAAAACAAACTCCAAGAAACATTAAACCAGTAAAACAAAGTTGCACACTATAAAATCAATATACAAAAATCGTGACTACATTCCTATGTGTAAACAATGGGCTAGAAGAGAAAGAGAAAAAGACCACTCCTTCAAATGTACTGATGTTGCCAATGAAATTTGTGTTAAGCCACATCCAAGTGTAAGCTACTCGCAGTACATGCCAGTGACACCATCAACATGTAGGTCTTCAAACACATCAAGTACCTTGGTATTAACAGAAGATGAAGCTATAAATCATGAAAGATAGAAAAAAAGATCATTTGGAATGGAAAAATATTGATGTTCTTGGATAAGAAGAATCCACACTGTCAAAATGACCATCCTACTGAGAACAGTATATAGATCCAATACAATCCCTATCAAAATTCAAATAACATTATTTAAGGACTTACAACAATCACTAATAAAATTTGTATGGAATCACAAAATACCCCAAATAGTCAAAACCATTCTAAGAGCAAAGAATTTGTGGTGAATCCCATTTCCTGGCTTGAGGCTATAATTTAAAGCTATATTAATCAAAACAGCATGGGCTCCATTAAGGATGGGCTGTCTGAACTATGGGCAATAACCAGGCTTAGGATAGACTACAGATAGACCAGTGTATTAGAACTGAGAACCCAGAGGAAAACTTGGCAATCTATGATTAAGAAAGGAACTGTGTTAATGTATTGATTAACAAAGGAGCTATTCAACAGTCCTGGGGAAACAGGTTAAACAAATGCAAAACAAAAAAAAAAAACAAAAAGAAAAAAATTAAATCCATATCTCCTAGGATACACGAAAGTTAAGTCAAAATGGATCAAGAAGATATAGGCACATCAATGTTCATTACAGCAACTAGCACAACAGCCAGGACACAAAAAATAACTCAAATGTCTGACAGATGAATCAATACAGCAGCTGTATACAAAATGAAATACTAGGCATTTAAAAGGAAAGATGAAATCATGTGGTTTGCTGCAACTTGGATGGAACTGGAGTTTAACATATTAAGTGAAGTAAATCAGGAAACGGACATGTGAGATGTTTTCACTTATATGTGGTGTAGAGAATAGCAGGACAAGAGAATGGAACGTATCAGTGTGGACAAACTCTTGTTCCTAGATTTACAAGATGAAAATATCTAAAAAGGGGAGAAAGAGGGAGAAGGGAGAAAGAGAAGACATGTCTGTATCAGGCACTTTGGTAGCATAGATTCGGTGGTAAATATGATGATCTAAATCATAAAAACAAAGCTATTATCTACATGTGTCTTAATGATAATAATTTTTAGAAAGGTATATAAGGAGGGGCTGGAGTGATAGCACAGCGGGTAGGGCGTTTGCCTTGCACGCGGCCAACCTGGGTTCGATTCCCAGCATCCCATATGGTCTCCTGAGCACCTCCAGGAGTGATTCCTGAGTGCAGAGCCAGGAGTTAACCCCTGTGCATTGCTGGGTGTGACTCAAAAAAAAAAAAAAAAAAAAAAAAAAAAGGAGGAGTGGGAGAGTGGGTATATAGGTGGAAATTTTGGGTCACTGAAGAGGAATGCTAACACTATTGGTGGGGGGAACTTCAGTGTTAAAATACTGTCTGTCTAAAATTCTAAATAATACTATAAATCGTCTAAATACCTTTTTAAAAAGAGAATTCCTATTTATTTATTTATTTACCTTTGTTTCGATAGCACAGCGGTAGGGCGTTTGCTTTGCACGCAGCCAACATGGTCGACCCGAGTTCGATTCCTCCGCCCCTCTCGGAGAGCCCGGCAAGCTACCGAGAGTATCTCACCCGCACGGCAGAGCCTGGCAAGCTCCCCGTGACGTATTCGATATGCCAAACACAGTAACAACAAAGTCTCCAATGGAGACGTTACTGGGCCCGCTCGAGCAAATCGATGATCAACGGGAGGGCCTTTACTTTACTTTACTTACTATTTATTTATTTATTTATTTATTTATGGCTTTTTGAGTCACACTGGCAATGCTCAGGGCTTACTCCTGGCTCTCCACTCAGAAATTACTCCTGGCAATGCTTGGGGGACAATATAAGATGCTTGGGATCGAACCCGGGTGGGCTGCATGTGAGGCAAGCACCCTCCCAGCTGTACTATCACTCCAGCCCTAATAAATTTTTTTTTAAACATAAAACTTCCATTTAGTGTGGTTACACACATAAAATACCTCCTACAGCATATGGTGCTACTAATAATAAAGACTGAGCACTTATGTGACAGGTCCAGTACTAAGTGCTATACAATTTATTAACCTATAATGTAACACTTTGACTCATAACTACCCCCTCAACCAAAATGATAATCACAATTACCCTGATAAGCATATTATCTCTGTTATCAGATAAAGAAACTCAAGTCAACAGATGAAGAAAAATGTTAAGAAACAGTGGGCCAGAAAAGTGGTCAGAGCATTTGTCTTGCATGCAGCTGACCTGCGTCCAATTCCTAGCATGCCATATGGTTCCCTGAGCCAGTTAGGAGCACAGACCCAGGAGTAAGTCCTGAGCATGACTAGGTGTTGCCCAAAATCAATAAACTTAAGTAACACATTATGGCCATTACATGCTAGTGAGTGACTGAATAAGACTATGTAGATTTGTATATGACGGCCTGACTCCAGACTCAGTACTGTTAACTACCATATACTTTGACTGTCACTAATTAAATAAACATACATTAGCCAAGAAAACAAAAAGAAAATCACTATATATTCAGTAATACTTAAATGAATCAGTTTATTTTGAATCCAAAAGTATTTGGGCAGACCTTTCATGTTTTGATATAAAATATATACTGTTTGGCCTGGAGAGATAGAACAACAGGTAAGGTGTTTGTCCTGTACCCAGCCAACCGAGGATTGATCCCTGTCACATACAGAGTCCCCTGAGTACCGCCATGAGTGATCCCTGAGCACAGGCAGGTCTGTCCTCTTCCCTCCTTGAACACTGTTTTAGCTGAAACATGAAGTGGTAGTGTCATTATATGCAAAGGAGTCAAAAACACTTTGTCGTACTCCCTAATAGTACAACAATTCACACACTGAACCACTTAAGGAGATAGAGAAATAATATAATCGAAGAATATATGGTAAGATTTAAATTATAAATACGGAAAAGAAAAACATGACTGCACAGCTTTGAGAAACAAAGGAAAGCTTCAAGGTCCGACCAAGGCTGGAGAGTTGAGCAATTTGGTATTCTTTGCTGCAGCTGACTAGATCTGATCCCTAGTAGATGGTTCCTACACTCCACTCTACCCCTAGCATTGCTGGATGTGGTCCTGGAGATGATCAAGCACTGCTAATCTCTGGCCCTGATTGGTCCAGGCAGTGCCACATTCATGGGTCCTTGGAGAACTGCCTGGAGTGGCACCTAGCACCACTTTGGAGGCCCTCCTCCAACCAAAGAAACAAAATAAAAAGGAAAAGAGAGTCGGGCCGAGTGAGAAAGGAAAAAGTACTGTTAGCAATAAGGGCATATAAGAAATAAGCAACTCAGGTTCTTAAAAAGGAAACATTACAACGATTGTTCTATTATCTGGGAGTAGCATACAGTGTTAATGAGAATCCAGTTACGGCGTGAAATATGAGGCATTCAACATAAAAATTATGGAAACAGGAGAGTATAGTAGGATGCATGAAACTAGAGTTGAGGTGTCTCAAAAATCCAAAATCCTAAAAATTAGCACTACCAGTGAAGTCTACAGAAGATTTGGTCGTGTTGGGTATGAACAGAGGGAGAGAACTGTATGAAGAGTCCTTCTGCCTCCCCTGACATCTATGAGATTTGGTCAGTACTAATGCCCAGGGCTATATATCAAAAGGTAACCTGTTAATTATCTAAGTCCAGAGTACTAACTGGGTTTTCTAAGAAGAGGAAACAAAATGAGGGAAAAACTGTAATGATCCAGTATGTGCGATGAAAAGAAGAGAATACCCATGCCATTACCAAGTCTACTGTTGTTTAACCCTCTTTTTATGTTAAACAGAAGGTAAAAATTTTTAACCAAGGGCAGGAAGAAATGGGTAAATAGGGAAAGAAAGACTTATGGTACTCTGGCAGGGTGACAGCACTCAGGAAATGTGGCTTATCATTAGATTTTTCCATTAAGCACATAAAAATTAAAAAGCAGTAATAACAATTGTTCCGTTACCTTAATAATATCATCAGTACCTCCAACAACAGGCTTTGACTTGAATTCTTCAATTTCTTTCTCTAATTCTAAAACACACACACACAAATCAGTTCAGAAAAGAAGAAATTTCTAAATGATAATCCTCTTTTTAAAAAAATTCTCATTATAAAATATACTTAATAAGCACATATTCTGAGAAAGGTTATTACTTTTGTTTTTGTACTACATCAGGTAGTGCATTAAGACTATTTCCTCAGAGGACCAAATCTGGAACTCTTGCAAATGAATCATGTGCTTTAACCAGTTGAACTATCACTCCAGTGCTTGAGAAAGTAGTTTTACCCAGAATTACCTGTTGTTTACTTATTAATTTTGGGAGGGTCTCCCGAACAGGGACCTCATCAGTGACTTTTAGCCAAATGGGCCAGGGGTTCAGTAACCAGGCCAAGGATGCAAAGCAGCTCAGCCCTGCCATGCTGGAAATATTCAGAGATCCTAACAGTACCCCAAGTACTTCTCCTAACCACTACACTATCTCCTGTACCCGGCATTATTACTTTTTAATTTCTCTTTTACTATGGAAAACATCAATAAATAAAACGTAGAGAGAACAGTATGAGTATATCTACTCATCATAGCAACTACTATTATAGCTAATGTTGAACCATCACTGTATCACTGTCATCCCATTGATCGTCGAATTACTCGACCGGGCGCCAGTAATGTCTCTATTCCTCCCAGCCCTGAGATTTTAGCAGCCTCTTCTTACATGTCTTTTCCCAATGATTGGAGGCTCTTTCAAGGTCAGGGGAATGAGACCTACTGTTGTTACTGTATTTGGCATATCAAATATGCCATGGGGAGCTTGTCAGGCTCTGCCTGAACCACCAAACTTAAATATTAACTTCCTCCTCCTTTTCTTGCCGATGCTGTTTTTTATTTTTTAAATAAACCTCAAACACTACAGTTTCAGTTATAAGTAACTTTTTACTTTATAAAGCAACAACCTAACTCACAGTAAAGATAAGTGCCAATCTTTGTGTCCAATTTATGTCTAAATCTAGATCTTAGAACTCTAAACAAATTATTACAGAATGATCCAAACTCCCAAAACACAATTATGATACTTTTCTGGTAAAAAGTAAGTCTTGATCTGTAGGCTAGTTAGTTAATAACTAACAATAACAATACCAAGTTAAGTCATTGGAAATAAAAAGATCATCCATATACACAAGAGAAGCATACTTAAATCTTTGTGTTTAAGATAAATAAACTTAAAGCTGAATAACAAAATCAACTTTAGCAAATAAATATACTTAAAATTCCAAGAGTAGAAAAAAAAATTTTCTTTCTTTTTTTTTTTTTGGCTCTTTGGGTCACAACCAGCGATGCTCAGGGGTTACTCCTGGCTCTGCACTCAGGAATTATTCCTGATGGTGCTTGGGGGACCATATGGGATGACAGGTCGGCTGCGTGCAAGGTAAAAACCCTACCTGCTCAGGCCCCAAGTGTAGAAATGTTTTATTTTAGGCCTCTTCATTTCTTTAGGCTAATGACCTTGTATTGCTAACATTTCTACTTACTCAAGGGGGAAAAAACCTCCACTATAATGAGAAGAACCAAAGGGGGAAAATACTTGGTAAGATTTGGAGGGGTGGGGAAGGTGGGGGAAGAGCTGGGCCTGTAGCAGTTCCTGGTAAACCAGGCAGTGGTCCAACAGGCAAGTGTGAAGGCTGAGAAGAGACTGGTGCTGCAGGTTACCTGCCACCCCGGCTCTGCTGGGTTCCGAGGCTGCACAGTCATGATCAGGAGATCAAGGGGAGCCAGAAACACTGCCTAAGGGATGTGCCCGAGCCGTGCCCTGCCCTGTCCACAACAGGGAAAATCCCCTTACTTAAGTTTAATAATACAAATTAACATAGGGAAATCATCAGAATGTTTAGAGGCGTATCAATTCTAAATGAGACAAACAAAAAGACACAGGTTTTAAATCATGATGAGGCTAGAGAAGATGAGTATTTTCAACCCGCTACCTGTACATCTTGATTTAGTTTTCTGTAGCAGCAGCATCTGCTTCTTGGCAAACTTGATAAGCTCTTCCTTGGGCAGAGTGTCCAGCTGAAAGATGCGAGGATGGGGCTCACTAGCTCGCGATTCTCCAGCACAGAGAGAGGCACGCACACCCGGGAACAGCCCGCCCCGCCGGGCAGTGGGGCGGGCGCAAGTGTCCCGCTGCCGCGGCTACCCACACCGACGCCCCGGCCACCCCCTCGGCGCCGCGGCCCAGCCGGCGACCGACGGCGGGACGCGGGAGTGACCAACGGGGGGACGCGGGCCCCGGCCCTACCTTGGATCTCGCGGTCCCGGGGGCGGCGGGCGCGGCGGCCCCGTCCGGAGGCTCCTGCAACACAGAGGCCGGTCAGGCTCTGCCGGCGCGGCCCGAGGGAAACGGGGGCTCCCTTCTGTCCCACCGCGACCCCCGCTTCCCCTGCCGTTTACCTCCATGGCCGCCGCGCTGACCGGGAGTCCGCTGACCGCGCCGACTCGGGGCCCGCCGATCCGGAGCTCGATGACCGGGAGCCTGCTGTCCGGCGCTACGCGGACCGGACCCGGCACTTCCGCCTGCGCGGCGCCGGCTGGCCGAGGTCAAAGGTCACGGCGCCCGCCCACAGCGTATCCCTAGCTACAGCTCCGCGAGGTTCCGCTTCCGCTTCGGCGGCCGGAAGCGCGTGCCTTCGCGTCACTCGCGCGTCTGTGCCGCACGTCCGCGTCCGGCCGGCTCGGGCCCCACCCGAAGAGTGCGCTTGAGGTGGTCCTGAAGCCCCGGAAGGGCCGGCCCGCGGACGGCGCCTCCCACGCCCGCGCCGCTTCCTCTGCGTGTGGGCCCGGCTGCCCGCGCTGCTGAGAGAGCGTGACCCGACCCTGACCCCTTACCTGCCCCCCCTCCGGCTGCAGCGAGAGCGTGGCCCGATGCCGATCCCGTCCCCGACCCTCGCTGCAGAGAGCGTGACCCTACCCTGAGCCCGTCCCCGCCCCCCCAGAGCGTTACCCGACCCTGAGCCCGTCCCTGCTGCCCCACCACGAACAACGGAATGACAGTGATACAGTGATATAGCAATTATATTTTTATTTAAAAATTACAAATTTGGAAGACTACAATCCCCAAGTTTTACTAAATTTTTAAAATTAGCATTCGGGGCTGGAGCGATAGCACAGCGGGTAGGGCATTTGCCTTGCAGCAGCTGACCCGGCCAACCGGGGTTCGATTCCTCCGCCCCTCTCGGTGAAAGTATCTCGCCTGCATGACAAAGCCTGGCAAGCTACCGTGATGTATTCGATATGCCAAACCCAGTAACAAGTCTCATAATGGAGACGTTACTGGGCCCACTCGATGAAAAATCGATGAACAATGGGAGGACAATGCTACAGTGCAGTGCTACAGCATTCAGTAAAATTTGTTTTTTCATTGTTGTTAAATTCTCTGGTTTGCAACCACTAGGATAGACTACAGACTAATTTATTATCCCTCAAAATTCTCCTCTTGTAGTCATATGCTCCTACCCAATCACAATTGCTGGCAACCATCATCTATTCTTTTTCCAGGATAGGTCATCATTTTTTATGACTATCATATAAGCAGAAACACATTATGTCAATCTTTTGAGACATGTTTCTTTTCTTTCATAATTTTTTAAAATTGGGGGCCACACTTTGTGGTGCTGTGAACTACTAATGACTTGGTGCTCAGAGGTCACTCCTGAAGGTGTTTGGGGGACCATGCAGGCTCAGGATCAAGTTCTGGCCTCTCTCTCTCTCTCTCTCTCTCTCTCTCTCTCTCTCTCTCTCCAATCTACTGAGCTATCTCTTTAATCTAGAGAGTGACTTCTTTGCCTCAGGAAAATGCCTTTGGGAGTCATCTGAATTACATAAGTTGTTCTCATGTTCCTAAGTAATACTATATGGCTGTACCATCATTTATTTTTAATTCATTTACGAGTTGCAGGACATTTCAGTTTGCTTCCAGTTTGGGGTAATAATGCATACAGCTGGTTTAAGACTACAGGTTTGTGTGACTGTCAGTTTTTTATTTCTGGGATAATTTGTTAGATTCTATATAATTAACTTCAAGAACCTCCTAAGCTGGATGTGCCTGTTCCCTGGTGGGGGACATTGCTCGGGATGCTGTGATGATGGTTCTGCACAGGTAGGCAAGGCACTCCCTTCCTGGGAGCTTGATTTGAGTCTGTCTCATTAAAAAACTTAGAGCCCAAGTTAATTGTTAAGGATTCTTTTTCATTTCATTCTTAATGCTTCTACTGGTGCTTGGGGTTACACCCGGAGGTACTTGGGTGTGACAGGCAGTTTTGAGGCTCAAACTCAGGGCCTCACACATGTCAGGGAAAAGTCAAAGTGCTCTCCCACTTTGAGCGACCTCTCTGGACCCAAACAGGGGTGTTTTGTCTGCAGTGCTCAGAGGCTTGGTAGCTCCTCCTCACGATTTTTGACCAACCAGCTGGTGGTTCAATTCAAAGACTGAAAGATGAAGTACTGTGAGGGCCTTGTAGTTCCAGGGATCATCTGTACAACCCTAGCAGAGCTCAAGGACCTCCAGAGCTACAGCACGTACCCAGGGATGCTATGTTGGGTACTGGAGATTAAACTAGAGTCTGCTACATGCAAAGCAGTATGCCCTGGTATATCCCTGTACTATCTGTCTCTTTAGCCTCACAAGGGCTACTTTAAATGTGCTAATCTACAGTTTTCAAGATGGCTGAACAGATAGTTAGACCACTGACAAAAGCCCAAATGGAGCAAAGGTTCGAGGTAGGTATTTGTGGAGTGTAGTTAATGGCACTGGGGCAAATTAGACCCGACCTTGCAAAGCGGCCCAGAAGGAAGGCTCCACAGAAGGGAGTATCTGGGCAAAATTGGCAAGAACAGGATGTCACCATCAGGTGTCCGACCCTGAGACTCACTCTACCTCCTCGTCACATGAGCCCAAGACACAGAAACTGTCACGTATGCTTAGCAAGTCATCCTAACTGCAGCATCTAGCCTTGATTGGGATTGGACCGGGCAAAGCAGAGTTGGAAAGGTGATAGGCCAGTCATGCTTAACTTTATGTGATTGGACTTGCTGTAAAGCTGAGACCCTCTATAAAATATGTATGTATTTGGCAATAACGTGAACAGCCATCGGCTGCTCCTGGAGGGTGTTTCTCTGCACGCCCATCATCCTTTATCCCACATCTGCCCGGACCCAGTGCGTAACGTGGCTGGGCACCTTGGGAAAAACTGTTCCCCAATATCTGGCACCCAAATGTGGGGCACCTATGAAGGTAATTAGTGACATTTTGGACGGCTGACTTCCCCTGACCTAATCTGGGGGAATACTGGGCTTCTGCAGCCCCTCAACAAGCTTTCTTGTTCATTTTCCTCCCTGCAACCATGGGAGCTACTGTGAAGTCAGAGTGAGACTATATAACAGGCTTCACTTTAAGGCTGAAACAAGCGTAGGCCTAGGTTTCTGTTTCCCCCTTCCCAAAGAATTCCCTGGGGCTGTCCTTGGCCAAAGCTGGAAATCTCCTAGATGCCTCTAGCCAGTCAGTCCTATGATAAGTAGGATATCTCTGGGCACAGCAGGGGAGCATGACTAATTAGCTCACAGACTTGTGACTGCTTCCTTAAAATTATTGGGACAACTGCCAACATCTAACAATATGCCATATAATGTTCCTTGGAACTTGGGTAGGGGTCCTTGTCGAGATCCACTGCATATGAAGAGACTCGGACCCTAGCTCAAGCTAGCAATAGAGAGTGCCTTGCTTTTGCATCCTCACGTCTGGTCTAGTCATTGTACAAATGAAACTCCCTTCCCAGGACTAACACTACCATCTCATGGACTCTCTTATTCTAAACAAGCTGTGAGAGATCTTACACTCTCAGGGCATGAAACTCAGTGGATCTTACGGTGACGCTTTCTGGGGACATGAGAGGGCTGGAGTGATAGCATAGCAGGTAGGGCGTTTGCCTTGCATGCGGCTGACCTGGATTCAATTTCTCCGTCCCTCTCGGAAAGCCCGGCAAGCTACTGAGAGTATCACACCCACATGGGAGAGCCTGGCAAGCATATTCGATATGCCAAAAACAGTAACAAGTCTCACAGTGGAGACTTCCAAGCTGGTGGGGGACTACCCCTTCCTTATTAGTCTGACAGTTTTCTCCGTGCCATTCTTGAAGGGTCAGATCAAACGATCAACTGTAATTATGTGCATGGGCTTGTGGTTTTGTAGTCAGTTCATTGTCTGTCTGTCTGTCTGTCTGTCTGTGTGGAACACATGAATGTTAGAGCCAGGTTGAAATCAGAAGTAGATATTCTTAGACCTGGGCAAGCAATATTATCACAAGAGGTTCGAGTGATATGCAACCCAGCAATTTAAAAGGTTCGGGTATTTTTGAACAGAGAAATTTAAATTCTTAATCTAAATTTCATATTGGGAAAACATTAATGGTTATTAAAGCTGAAATTCTTTCGAGCTTCAGAATCTGTACAATCTAGAAACAGCTGCAGAATTAGAGTCTGAAACTGAAGTGTAATAAGAGCTCAGAAAATGCAAGGCTTTATCTTACAAGCCTCAGCCAATTTTAAAGAAAAATTTGTCTGCTTTCTAGAGTTATAAAATTGGTTGCAAAACTTTTGTCCCATCAGAGTTTAAAGATATCAGGCTTTTTGGCTGAAATTTCAGACCAGCTTCAGGCCCTTTTGCTGAAGGAAAAAAGTGAGTCACTTTAAAATCTTTGTGGTTAAAAACCACCACTTTTTCTTTAGTGGTCTTGCAACTGAACAGAGGCAGCTGCCCCCACCCCTTTTCCCTTCTCAGCGAGGCAAGTGAGAGCTGAGAATGGTGATAAATCACAGCCTTACGCTGATTCCAATTTTGAAGTTAAGAAGTTGACACCTAAATGTCAAAAGTTTTGAATGTCTTTTGAATAGAGAATATCCAGAAAACAAAATATGTGCTTGTGGTAAAAGGGGATTTAAAGTTTAAAACATTCTGGCAGAAGAGTTTTTATCTCAATAAAAATGAAAGGAAAAAAGGAGATAAACAGAAAACTAGAAGGAATAGTTGACCTTCATACTAAGGCATTCATAGACAATCTAAAATTTTGTTCCCATCCTATATGAATTCTGTGAGTATTTTAACTCTCTTTTATCCATATTTGCCTAGAATTTAGTATCCTATAATATCTTTAATTGTGAGCATTGTAAAGGAATGTGTAGAAGACTTGAGAATGTAAAGAAACATGTATGTTTGGGATTGTTCTTTAAGGGAAAAAACTATATTGTTTGTGATCAAACTATTTTGTTATAAGAAACTCTTTAAATAATATCTGTAGAATTGTTCTAGTGTCCAGATTCCTCTTACAGTGCTCTTAAACAATTGGAAATCAAGGTTTTCAACATGGAACTAATGAATTAGACATTATGTTGTTAAATTGTATGTTCTGTTTCTATAGAAATTAATGCTTCTTTTGACTAGGACCCATAACAAACAGGTATGTTGCATCTCATTGTGAGTAAAGTGGAGTGTTTGCTTTTCTCTTCTTTGTACCTTCTTTATGTTTTTGATGCTTCATGGCACTATGATGATTTGCATAAATCGAGATAGAAAATCTTTCCTCTCTGTAATAGAGTCTATCTCTCATACAAAAAGCAAACAAAAGAAAACTGGGTTACAGGTACAGAATCCCTGGCACCAATGCTGGCAGGTGGGAGATACGGGTTTCTGTATATCTTCAGTTGGGCAAGTAAACCAGCACACAGGCTGCAGATCTCCAAACACTGGTCCCTGTCCTGGCGTCTGCTCTAGTGCCACAGACTATCCTGGTGTCTGAGTATTCCCTGAAAGAAGCCGTCAAGAGGGACCACCTAGCTCCCTCCTGGCCCCAGTATCTACAATATGTACTTGATCTCCTGAGGGACATAAATTCTACAGATGACAGAGATTGTTTCGTATGTGCCTCCCTCTCTTGGCCACTATTTGTGGCACTGCCTGTAAGGAGGTTACCCTGCCAATAAGACCTGATTCCAGAATATGGCCTTATTACAGAATAGGAAACATAGTCCAGTACAAGGCATTCCTCTCTGGGGGAGTGTGACAGACCTGATTCCAGTTGTCATAAGTGAAACCCCCTTGGAAAGTCTCTTTTACTGGTGTGACTCTCCTCTACATGACACTGTGCCACCCTTCTCGGTAAAAGCCTGTTTTTTATTTTAACTGCTATTTGCCCCAGTTTACTCTCTACAGTTCATATGAACTCGCCTGGCTCCTGCCCAGAACCCAACAGAAGTTCGCCCCACATCTGCCAGAATCTGGTGTGCAATTTATCTGGGCATGTTGGGAAAAAACTGTTCCCCAATAGGTACTGGCCAGAGCTCGTAAAAGAGCTTGAGTCCCAGCCTTTGGGCAGATCCATTTCCATTTTCAGTGGCGCAGATTAGGTACTGAGAAGGTGCTGCAGTCCAACAGAAACCAAGAGACTTAGTTTTGTCAAACTAGTTCAGAACTCAGAGGAGTCAATCAATTAAGGATACTAACGAGCCAGTAAAATGGTATCAGAATGTAATGGGGAGCAAAAACTTTTCCAGTGAGATAGCTGCCTTTTTTTAATGTCAGAAAATTTCAGTTGAGTCACCCTAAAATGAGAATACCAATCAAACCAGAGATTCACAAGACTTACAGGAATCAATCAATATTTTGTTTGTTTTGGGGTTATATCCAGCTATGCTCAGGGTTATTCTTGTCTTTGTGTCAGGGGTCACTTCTGGCAATGCTCAGGAGAGCATATGCATTGCCAGGGATGAAACCTAGGTCTTCCATTTGCAAGACGAATTCACTGTTTGCTATATAACGTTCTCTCCAGCCCCCAACAATTGAGTTTTATAGACAGGTCATATCCAGGGCAATGGGGTGGGGGTATCTGTGCTTCTTGAGGTTCTCTGCCCTGAAATGCAGGCTTTGCAGGTGCCTGGACCTGGTTGTGGGTACTTCAGTGATACTCAGGGGCACACAGGAAGTGCTGGGGTGGGGTATCAGGGACAAACTTGGTGGTGCTGAGGAGACCATATCTTGAAAAGGATTGAACTAAGGCTTTCTACATGCTAGGTACATGCGTTACCACTTGAATTATATCTCAACATCCCAGTCTTTCAATTTGATAGTAGTTCTCTGACAAGCTTATAAGAGCTTTGCAGAACAGGTATGCTTTGTAACCTTGATATGGAGGTACTGAGTCCAAATGCTCAGAAGTATTTCTGGAGGAGAGTGCCCACCCCCACCATCTGGAAGAAACTCCTTAATATAATAACTGGACAGTTGAGACTTTGTCTCAAAGTCACATGTAGCAAAGTAGTCAGACCAGCAAGCAAGAATGTTATTCCAAAGTTGCAAGAATGTTAGAACTTACATAATAGTTATCAGTGAAGTCATTTTTTTTGCATCACACTCAAATGATATGAATTTATGGCCTAGCCAATATAAACAACTAACATACTAATGTATAATCCCTGTTATTAAAAAGCCAGCAGGCTCTGGCCTCCGCTTTCATGGGAAAGGAGACAGATTTCCTCAACATTGAGGGGTTGAGTATCGAATCTGCTCATTTGACTTGTAGTTCCAAAAAACTTTCGTTTCCAGGTTTTTGATTTTTATTTATTGTTTAATGAGAGAACAGAATTCTCTTTTAGTTCGATAATATGATTGCAATATCATTAACATTTATGGTATTTGTGTATTTATTACACTTCCCCACCACCACCAAAGTGACCGACAACCTCCACCTTATCTTATTTCTAGATCATTTCTTTATTTACCCCTCCCCCAGTTCCTCCACTTGTAGGCAATCTCAGTTTTATAATTTAAGGCCAAGAAAGGGAATGTTGTTCAATACTGTTTGTTCCCTTGTTTTGTTTTGTATGACACAAATGAGTGAGATTATCCTGTGTTTGTTCTTCTCCCTCAGACTTATTTCACGTAATATGATGCCCTCCAGTTCTAACCAACTTTCATCAAACTGCAAGATTCCATCTCTTCTTACAGTTGTGAAGTATCCTATTGTGCATATATTCCAAAACTTCTTTGTTTATTTGTCACTGGACATTTGAAGTGTTTCCATACCATGCCTCTTGTAGTAAGCACTACAGTAAACAGAGGAGTGTGCATATCTGTTTAAATCAATGCGTTGACATTCGGGGGCTAGAAGCCAGTAAGTGAAGCTGCTAGATCAAATGGAAGCTCTGTTCCTGCTTTAAATATCATTCCATCCTGTTCAATAGAAGCAGAGCCAGGCTACAGTCCCAACAACGGTGTTTGAGGGCTCCTTTTACACCACTTTCCCTCTGAGAACCCTGGATTTTTTTCTCTTTTTAAAATTTTATATTTAAAAACATTTAATTGTTTTATTCATTTTGTTATTTTAATTGACTCACCATGAGATGTGCAGTTACAAAGTTGTTCATGATTGGGTTTCAGTCATACAATGTTCCAACACCCGTCCCTTCACCAGTGTACATTTCCCAGTTTCCTTCACCCCCACAACCCCCCTGAAGCCTGCCTCTGCGGCAGGCACTTGTCTTCTCTCTCTCTCTCTCTCTCTCTCTCTCTCTCTCTCTTTCTCTCTCTCTCTCTCACTCTTTCTCTAGTTTGCTATCTCTCTCTCATTTTGGGTATTATGATTTGCAATACAGGTACTGATAAGTTACCATGTATATCCCTTTCCCTCCTTTCAGGATTCAGTTCTTATCCAGTGACCATTTCTAACTATTATTGTCATAGTAGTCCCTTCTCTATCCTAGCCATCCTCCCCCACCCCTCATACCCTTCCCTCCACATGCACACTGTGACAAGCTTCTAATCGTGGGCTAGTCTTCTTGGTCCCGGTTTTACTGTCCTTGAGTGTTAGCCTCATCCTATATATTTTTTAGGTCCCACAAATGAGTGCTGTCATTTCATGTCTGTCCCTCCCTCTCCTTCTGACTCATTTTGCTCAGCATGATACTCTCCATGTCCATCCATTTTTAAGTTACTCTATGGTTATTTTGATACCAAGAAATTGCTGTAAGAGGCTTTCTCTGAAGCTCCTCTTCTCTCTTGAACAAGTGTCTCACTTGCTTACCTTTACATTTCTTTGCTTGTTTCCACTCTGGAAAAGCCTGTGCTCTTTCCAACAAGCACTCCTACCTCTCTCTTTCTCCTCACATCTTTCCAAATATGTTTCAATAAAAGTTCTTGTCTAACCAGAAAAAAAACTAGACACTTTTAAATATTTTAGTACTCATAGTGCCCATTCAATAATGGAGTGTTAGTACAGTAGGTTAGGGCACTTATATGTGGTTGACTGGGTTTGATCTCAGCACCCCATATGGTCCCCTGAGCACCACCAGGAGTGATTTCTGAGTGTAGAGCCAGGAGTAATCCTTAAGCACTATCAGATACGGCCCCAAAGATGATATATATGTCATATATACATATCTATTTTTAATATTCTGACAAGTTATTATTGATCTATTGAATACCAAGTAAAAGGAAGATAACAATGATATGTTGATTATATCTACTAATTTATTGAAACTCCCTCTACCTGAATACAATATGCGTTCTGATTCTGATTCTTTATTACCCTATATATTGAATAATGAACGAAAAAAATTTCATTCTTCTTCTTACTTGAGTTGGAACTGGAAAGTTAGCCTTGTGTCAGCCATTTTCTTCTTGTAGTCCTCATCAAATACCTCATTCTGAGCCACAGTGAAATGATTCTTCCAGTCTCCAACTGCCCCTGAAATAGTCATATAGGAGGGTGAGTAATCATTGGAAAATTTTGTGCTTTTCTAATCTCCGGTTTCTTCGTTTCTATTCCACCTTCCAGGAAAAGCTACTGGCAGAACAAAAATTATTACCCTCATTATCCAACCATTTTCTCATCCTGAAGGAAAGAATTTCTTAGTTCTAATTGTGAATCGTGGACAGCTTGAGCCATCTTAATGGGGAAAATGAGAAAATAACATGAAAATATCTATCCTGAAGTTTTTTTTCCATCTTTCCCTTGACTTCTCACACATCAAAAATCATGATAGTTTCTATGCCAGTATCTTCCAAGCTGTAGACAGACAAAAGAAAATCTCGTTTTTTTAAAAAAAATTGTATTAGTGAAACACTATAAGGTACTGTTGTAGACTTACAAATTTTTGTGTTTGGGTTTCAGTTATACAATGATTGAGCACCCATCCGTCCACCAGTGCCCATTCTCCAACCTCCAATGCTCCCAATATCCCTCCACTCAATCCCCCCCATCCCACCCCACCCCTGTGGCAGGACATTCCCTTTTGTTTTCTCTCTCCTTTTGGGTGCTGTGGTTTGCAAAAGAGGCATTGGGTGGCAATCATGTTCGGGCTATAGTCTACTGTCAGCATGCATCTCTCATCCAGGGAGAATCCATCTCCTCTTAAGGAGGACTCAGGTACGCTTTTAAGGAGAAAAAAAGGAAATGTCTATATTCTCCTGTTATAATCCCATTATTTTTCCAGATTTCTTTTACTTCAAATTGCTTGCTTTTATTTTGTGTATTAATTATTATTTATGCCTAGAATAGAATTTTCCTAATGGATAGAATTTCTGTGATTCTTATTCACTTCTCTGAAAATCACCTTTGTACCTGTTACATAGTACCCAATCAATAAGCATTTCTGAGTGAATAAATCTAACTAATAGGGATTCAGCAAATGAGTTCTTTATTCCATCTGACTTTATTCTATGTGTTTTCACCTTATTTGCCAGAATTTTGGATGGAATATGGGGATGAACTGAAGGAGTAAAGACACCAAATTCATAATACATTTGTAACTAAAACAGTTATCTATGTTTACTTAAGTATTTCTTCCATTATCTTTAGGTGTTATTTTTCTTAACTATATAAGCTAAATATTCACAAAATTCAAAATATTGAATCTTTTCATTTTACCATTTTTTCTTTTTAAATTTTGTTTTTTCCTTTCCTTCTTTCCTTCTCAACTCTTTTTTCCTTCCCTTATTCTTCCCTTCCCTTCCTATCTTTCTCCCACACCTGCCTATGCTCGGAGATTATTTCTGGCTCTTCTCTCTATGATGGGTGGTGCTTGAGGTGCGAAGGATTGCTCTGGAGTTGGTTGTATACCTTAAGTTCTATCTTATCTCTTAGACCCCAATACCAGACAAAGATAATCACAGCCAAAAGAAAATGTAAAAACCTTTTCTCATGAAGGGAGAAATACGGTGATTCATGATCTCAGTAGGAATTGATGAGTAGTTTGCCATTGGATTCAGCTTCATAACGTCAAATGCAGTGTGATGGACAATTTTATCTATAGTTTTATCATCCAAGTCCTTTCCAATAAATTTTGCCAGCTTCTGAATTTCATGCTTTGGGTTCTATAATCAGATTAAGAAAAAATCAAATATGAATGTAAATTAATCAGTTAAAAATAACAAGTACCCAAAGACAACAGAACATTAAAGGTGGTCTATAAAACTGAGTTTACTGGTGGTGAAGGAGGAGGGAGGGGATGGGCATGAAACTGAGAAAATGAGAAAGGGAAGCAAACACTCTGGTGGAGGATGTGGTGTTGATGTTGTATGCATGAAGCCCTATCAATTCACAATCTTGTAAACCATGATGCCTCAAAATAAGACCAAAAATATATGTGAAAAAAATGAAATCAACTGATAGTAATCAGTGGCATAATATGAGTTAAACAATTTTAAAATCTTACATGTGATCAACTTTTCAGAAATGATTCATTTTAGTATAATAACTCATATATATTTATTACTAAATGGGAGGGCTGGAGCAATAGCACAGTGGTAGGGCATTTGCCTTGCACACAGCCAACATGGCCGACCCAAGTTCGATTCCTCCGCCCCTCTCTGAGAGCCTGGCAAGCTACCGAGAGTATCTCGCCCACACGGCAGAGCCTGGCAAGCTACCCGTGATGTATTCGACATGCCAAACACAGTAACAACAAAGTCTCCAATGGAGACGTTACTGGGCCCGCTCGAGCAAATCGATGAACAACAGGAGGACAGTGACAGTGACAACATTAATGCATCAACAGAGTAGTGTTGGTGAAACATTTAACACATAATAATACGTAGTTGACTGAGACAAGAGTTGTTTCCTAATATCTTGCAAGTCAGACATGGGAACACCATTTCTAAGGCCATATCCTCTGAGTATTGCTCTGATAGTTATTGTAGCTGAACATCACTTACATAAAGTTTTGCTACTCCGAGTTTGAAAACATACTTTCTTATACTGTCTCCTTAGTATTCGATATGCCAGACACAGTAACAACAAAGTCTCCAATGGAGACGTTACTGGGCCCGCTCGAGCAAATCGACGATCAACGGGAGGGCCTTTACCTTTACCTAGTTTGCCATATCTATGCATAAAGAGCAAACTATTCCTTTATACAACTCTCTGCCATAATATTTCTTAATGAAATGTCTATATCTGGGATTCTGTCATTAACTAACTTTCTGTGATTAGCTAATCCTGTGATTTGATTACTCTCTCAACTAAAATAGTACATATATCTGAAGGGTATTCTTCATGGTATGAATAATTAAATTATCCTTTAAAAAAGATAGTTTTTGAGTCATACCTGGAAATGTTTCAGGGGTTACTCTTGGCTCTAAACTCAGGAATTACTTCTGGTGGTGCTCGGGGGTTGATCTGAGAATTGATCCCTGGTTAAGAGTGTGCAAGTGGTTACTGCACGGCATCTCTGGCCACAGAGTCTCCTTTTGTACACTTTTCCATCATTTAGAGTCTCTTAACATTTTTGGATCAAATACAGAAGAAGGAAATTTCATAATGACATTTTTTTTTTGCTTTTTTGGGTCACACCAGGAGATGCACAAGGGTTATTCCTGGCTCTGCACTCAGGAGTCACTCCTGGCGGTGCTCAGGGGATCATATGGGATTCTGGGAATCGAACCTGGGTTAGCCGGGTGCAAGGCAAATGCCCTATCCACTGTGCTATCTCATAATGATATCAGAATGGTGGCTGTCAGATATGGGAATGGGGGAGGGAAGGGAAAATTGGCAAAGATGACCAAAAAACTCATGAATTAAACAAGTCACGGAAAGGCAGTGTGCAGCATGGTTAAGATCATCAGTGACACCAAATTACATATTTGAAAGTTGGTAAGAGAGTTTGTTTTAAAAGTTCTCATGAGAAAGAGAGAGAGAGAGAGAGAGAGAGAGAGAGAGAGAGAGAAGAAAAGCACCTACACAGAGGCAGGCTAGGGGATGGGATATAGGGGGTGGCAGGAGAGAAACTGGGGACACTAATGCTGGGAAAAGTACGCTGGTGGAGGGATAGGATGGATGTTTATGACTGAAACCTAATCATGAGCAGCTTTGTAAGTGTCTATCTCATAGTGATTCAATATAATTTTTTTAAAAATCATGCTAAATAAGAAAAAATAAAAATAAAATAAAGTTCTCATCATAAGTAGAATTTTGTAATTATGATTGTTTGGTCGATCAGTTGTGGGAGCATTTAATAATATATACTAATGTCAAATAATTATGTGGTACATTTGAAACTAAAACACAGTATATGTCTATTACATCTCAATAAAAACTAGAAAAATGATTTTTACTCTATTTTATAAAAATCAGTTTAGCACAGCGGTAGGGCATTTTCCTTGTGTGCAGCTAGCCCGGCTGAGCCTGGTTCGATTCCTCCGCCCCTCTGGGAGTGCCCGGCAAGCTACCAAGAGTATCTCGCCCGCATGGCAAAGTCTGGCAAGCTACCCGTGACGAATTCAATATGCCAAACTCAGTAACAACAAGTCTCAAAATGGAGACGTTACTGGGCCCACTGGAGTAAATCGATGAACAATGGGAGGACAGTGCTGTGCTTTATAAAAATAGCTGAGAATTCACAAGTCATTAATAACTGCCATCAGTGACTGAATCTTCAGTAATACATCTATGCATCTATCCAAGCCTTTTGGGAATCTCACTAAAGCACACTGATTTAGCAGATCTGGTGTGGACTATGAGATAGTCCTAGCCTGAGAAGCATCTTTGGGACCCCAAGGTTTTCAATGATAAATTCAGAAGCAGAAACCATAATTCTTTATGTATTTCTGTCTTTAGTAGAGTCATATCAGGTCAATGAATAGTTGTCATTTACTATCTACAGAAATTATAACTAATGATAACTAGTAGTTATCCAGATAAGTTCCTAGGGTAATATATATTACTATCTCTTTACTTATGTAAGTCTAGTAAGTCTCTAAGAAGTCTCTTCATCATGAATAATCGCCATTAATAAAAATAATACTTTAATATTTGTGAGTCTTGGTTTACTAGTACCTTCCATTACAACATAATTTATTAAGCTGTTTTGTTAAAACTATGGTGTTCATTATAGGAGTACTATATAATAATTACTGATGAAAAAACAGTGTACCCTAAAAAATTTTTACATTTAAAATTATAAAAAATATTTCCTCCTACACAGAATTAAGAAAAAATGTTTTTAAGGAAAAAAAAAACTTATTTTGCTATATTTGCCTATCAGAAAATTATGCATTGGGGCTGGAGAGATAGCATAGCGGGTAGGGCGTTTGCCTTGCACGAGGCCGACCCGGGTTCAATTCCCAGCATCCCATATGGTCCCCTGAGCACCGCCAGGAGTAACTCCTGAGTGCAGAGCCAGGAGTAACCCCTGTGCATTGCCACGTGTGACCCAAAAAGCAAAAAAAAAAAAAAAAAAAAAAGAAAATTATGCATTGTTGTACTCCAGGTTACAGGAAGTTGTAGAATAAGAATGTAATGTATCACCTTTATACAATGATGCGTGGACAAATAATATAAAATTAAATACAACAGTTTACTGTTCCTTATTTTAATGTATGAGTCCCCACTGGAGTCCATAATTATGACTTAAATGCTGTATGGTGAAATACAAACATGTGAGATATACTATCAATATACTACCTTCTTCATATCTTCATAGAAGAGGTAGAGAATGCGGTGTGCATCTTTGGCTTTCCACCATCCTTTCACATGGTCATGCCAAGAACCCCAGCACACTGCAAAATTAGACGAAAAGTCAACAAGTCATAGAAGTCCACCAGCAAATATTCACTGAAAGCAGAATTCCTGAAGAGGGGGAGACTGTTATACTGATGTTTCTGTCATATTTAAGAAGGTAGAACCCTTGCTTCTATAAATAAATTATTCATCATAGAGCATTTGAGGATTCTAAGAAAGAAAGAAAACAATACTGAATTCTCTTACCTTTTCCAGTCAGAAAGCTCTCAAAATACTCTTCCCAGGTTCCTGGATCAGGAAGTGCTCTATTCATCCTTTGGAAATGGTAATAAGACACCATATTGTCCTTGGGATTTCTAGCTACATAGATTATCTGATAGGGTTTAGGTGGGGTTGGAATGAGAAGAATGGAGAGACAAAAACAGTATTAGACCTATGTATGGCTATGCATTACATACGCATTTATTCCATAGCTGCTTTCTTTTGATCTTGGCTTTACATTTTTAAGTTTAAATGTAAACTATTTTAAAAAGTCACTGTGATTTACAAAGTTTGTTGATAGTGGTGTTTGAGGCATACAATGTTCCATACCAATCCCACCATGGGTGTGATTCCATCCACCGATGCCCTCAGGAAGGGCATCTTTCTTTCCCACCCTCTGGACTGACTCCTTTACAGGTATATTTTAATTTTTGGTTTTTGTGAGTTTGGGGATCATGCTTGCAGTATTGTTGTCGTCATGGTTTATATAGATACCTCACCTCTGCACCACCTAGGTGCCTCTGCCCTTGCCCCTATTACCTTATTTTCACCTCTTCTTACTTCTCTCAGTTCCTTTCCTTTCCTATTTTAATTTCTGTACTCTAGAGTTAAGGGTAATCTAGGTATCCTCTGTTTGATATCTTGCATTCTCTTGTCCCATTATAGAATAATATACTACAGTAAGTGAGATTATCTTGTATTTATCCTTTGATCTTGGCTTTTTGTGGGAGTTAGAAAGAAATCATGTCAATGTGCATATTCACTATTGTGAAGATGGGAACCCTTCCTTTCTTTAATAACAATGAGGTGTGTTCAGAGGATATTGACTTAATAACACAGAATCATTCTAATGGATAACTTTTGTCCTTTACCTTACAATTTTTCTCCAGAATGGATGGTGGCAGCAAGTGAATAGGAAGATGTGTTTTCAGGGTCCGTGGTGAGGGCATTTTATTAGCCTGTTCCAAACCTGTAAAATTGATTTTTGATCATTTCCCGCAATTTTTATCTATTAATAATATTGCTGCTTCCATTATTACCACTAAGGAATATTTCAAGTCAACTGTAAGAGCACTGTAATGGTCTATAGATCTTAATATGTCTGTGAATGAAAGTTTGGGCAAGAACATTACTAAATTGTAAAACAATAAATGAATCTATTGTTTATAATTAAATGAACAAGAATTTTAAAATTCAGATATTTGCACTAAGATCATCTTTTTTAAGCTCAACCATATGGAGAAAATTAAGTTCTAAATGTAGAATCAAACTGCAAAAAAAAAAAATAGAAATCCCATTAGAAAATGTTCAGAATAGAGTGATGACCAGGTATAATTAAAAAAATAAAAGTTACAAAATCCATCAATAGTTATTTGCCTAGAGTTAAAAAGAATTTTTTCAAAGTGGGGTATTCTTTGCTTTTTGATATTAAAAAAAATTTTCTCTTCACTTTCCTTTGCTGTGATGACTATAAATTACCAAATGCTTGACTGTTCCACTCACACACTTGAGTGTGGTGCTTGCTGAAGGTTTCACACTTAGTTGTGGTGCTCAATTTTTTATTGCAGTGTTCATACATGCCTGGTTTTGGTGTGCTGAGATGCCATTTGTTTTTGTGTACTGGTGATCACAAATTACAGTGTTTCCAGGATTGTACTCAGCAGATGGGAAGGGGCTTTAGGTCAAAGCCCACCTAATGCGTATCAGTGGCCTAAGGTCTGTAACTCGGGCTCTGTACCATTGAAACTCTGTGACATTTTTTAGATAACATGAATGTGAGAACTAATTTTATGTAAAATCTTAAGTGTTTATTTAATACTACAGTCAATTGTGGCTATTTATACTCACCAGAGCCTAAGGATGGGACTATCCACTCGATGAAAGGAAATCGTTTGTGAGTAGGAGCTCGTTGGCTCTGGTCAACATCACCTCCGTTTTGTATTAAGTCCACTATCTCTTGAGTCCATGTTGTTCCTTATTTCACATGTAAGATGAAGATGCATAGAGATTTATTAAACTGTAGTTCTTAAGATATGATAGGTGTTAGAAAAAGATCTATATAAATTTTAGAGCTAGGTTTATAATGCAGTTCAGAAAGCACCATTGTTATTGATTTATATTTTATTATAAGAATTGTTATACAGAGACTGCTGTTTGAAGGGAATATTGGGTTGATAATGAACTTTTTTCTGTTGTGACCATTAATTCATATTTTTAAAGGTTTTTATTTATTTATTTATTTATTTTTAATAGTGAGACATCATGAGGTACAGTTGCAGACTTACACATTTTTGTGCTTGGGTTTCAATTATACAATGATCAAACACCCATCCCTCCACCAGTGCGCATTTCCCACCACCACGGATCCCAGTATCCCTCCCACCCCCCAGCCCCCATCCCACCCTGCCTCTGTGGCAGGGCATTTCCCTCTCTCTCCTTTTAAGTGCTGTGGCAGAGACTGGCCCATATCCACAAGAACAAAAGCAACCGGTGCTGGCGCGGATGTGGTGAGAAAGGGACACTCCTTCACTGTTGGTGGGAATGCCGACTGGTTCAGCCCTTTTGGAAAACAGTATGGATGATTCTCAAAAAAAAAATTAGAAATTGAGCTCCCATTTGACCCAGCAGTACCACTCCTGGGAATATATCCCAGAGAGGCAAAAAAGTATAGCTGAAGTGACATCTGCAATTGTCTGTTTATTGCAGCACTCTTTACAATAGCCAGAATCTAGAATTCATATTATTTTATTGATTTAGTTACACTATTCTTGGGCTGGAGCGATAGCACAGCGGTAGGGCATTTGCCTTGCACACAGCAAACATGACCGACCCGAGTTCGATTCCTCCGCCCCTCTCGGAGAGCCCAGCAAGCTACCGAGAGTATTTTGCCCGCACGGCAGAGCCTGGCAAGCTACCCGTGATGCATTCAATATGCCAAACACAGTAACAACAAAGTCTCCAATGAAGACGTTACTGGGCCCACTCGAGCAAATCAATGAACAATGGGAGGACAGTGACAGTGACAGAGTTACACTGTTCTTTAAAGGACCTTTCTCATCAGATTTTGATCTGCAGTAAGTTTCTGGATCCCTCTGTTTCCCAAGCATGCTGCCTGAATGGAAGACACTAAATATACTGAGTTGACAGAGTGAGTAAATAGTTGGAGACTGGACTTGATAGTAATCTTAGCACTTAGTTTCCACATTTACATCTTTCTCTATTTTACCCTTCTCAGGGTTCAGTCGGTAAAAAGTGTATTCCTTAAACTCATTTGCACCAAGATTCTGAACACCATTCAGATTTTGCCAATAAAATGCATTGACATGATATTTGGAAGGCAGAAGAGAGGTATAATTCATCCTTCCTAAATAATGGCAGCTGCTGGTGAACCCAACAGATAAAATATTATAGAGGTATCCCCTATTTGTCGTTTGAAACCAAGAAATTGAATCCTTATTGTGTCACTATCTCCCAGCTTCTGTGGTTTCTGTATACTGCTGATCCTTGTTGATAGTTATTGACTTTTATCTCTTGATAAAGACCTTTGGCATCAGACATTGTGATACAATCCATGTTGGAAGGATGTTTAGTAATTGAAGAATGTTTTTCTAAATCCCAAATCTGGCTGATCTACATTCTCTGACATAACTTTTCATTATAGACTCCCTTTTTTTATACTCTCAAGTCAGTGTTTTTACAACTATGGGGGGGCATATATTAGAAAGCTATCAAAAATATTTTATTTTTATTTTCAAAATTGTCATACCATATTTGATAGGGTTCAAATATGGTAACACCTACAAGGGTGATTAGAGGTTGCCCCAAAAGCCTCTATCCCTCTCGGAAAGACTGGCAAGCTACCGAGAGTATTTCGCCCGCACGGAAGAGCCTGGCAAGCTATCCGTTGTGTATTCGATATGCCAAAACCAGTAACTACAACTGTTCTCATTCACCTGACCCTGAAGGCTTCACCGACATGGCAGCACTGAGAAGGATGAGAAAGGAGAGGCCGACAAAATCTCAAGGCCGAACTAGGCTACACAACAAAGAAAGACAAAAATGATCGTCTGTACTTTCAATGCACGTATGCTAGCATCAGATGCATCCATTGAGGACCTGATGGTACAAGTGCGAATGTTCAAGAGATGGGCTGGTCACGTAATGAAATTTAAAGACGACCGCTGGACTAGAGCTATTACTGACTGGATTCCACAGGATGTCAAAAGACCGCATGGCCGCCCACCTACCAGATGGTCAGACTTCTTCGTCAAGATCATGAACGATCGGTTTGAGGCTCTTCATGTTCCCAGAGCGAACAGATGCCATTGGGCTACACTAGCACGCGATAGGGACAAATGGAGACGTTACTGGTGCCCAGTCGAGCAAATCGACGACTAACGGGAAGTTAAGTGATTAAGTGATTAAGTGATTTTCAAAATCAAATTTTGTTTTATCTTTTTTATTATTCGACCAATGCAATAATTTACCTTCTTTAGTAAAAGATTTGCTCGAGCGGGCCCAGTAACGTCTCCATTGGAGACTTTGTTGTTACTGTGTCTGGCATATCGAATACTCTCGGTAGCTTGCCGGGCTCTCCGAGAGGGGCGGAGGAATCGAACTCGGGTCGGCCATGTTGGCCGCTTGTAAGGCGAACGCCCTACCCGCTGTGCTATCGCTCCAGCGATTTAATGAAAAGATTGCATTTTTCATTAAAAAATTATTTTACTTGTTTGCAAATAAATAGTTATTTATAGAAGGGACCAAGGAGTGGCAAGAACCTTGCCCGGCCAGGGACTGGCCCTCAGAAGTCCCCGTGCCAAGACTGCATCTGTAGCCTAGATTAGTTTACATTTTCTGGAACAAACTCATTAAAAATATTTTTTAGCTTTCCGTCCAAATAATGGTAGCGCTATTTGTGCTCATTTTAGATGTTTATTCTGAATTTAAAGCCTTGTTCTAATACTGGTGTTTATTGAAGCATCGCCAGAAGGTGGAAGATGAGTAGAATGACCGCTAGAGGAGTCAGTGATTTTGTGATGATTTTTTCTTTGTTCATTCAGAGTCATGAATGAGACTGCAATAGATGAGGCCCTTTTCTTGCTTGGTGCCAATTCCAGCAGCGCCCAAACCTGCCCGGAGTAAACCAGCCTAGCGTAGGAATGTTGGATCAGCAGTCAGGTTCTGGTGTTCTCATTCCTGTTTGCATCTAGTAAAATACAGTGATCCTAATGTATAAGGTTTTTTTTTTTTTTTTGCTTTTTTGGGTCTCACCCGGCGATGCACAGGGGTTACTCCTGGCTATGCACTCAGGAGTTAATCCTGGCGGTGCTTAGGGGACCATATGGGATGCTGGGAATTGAACCCGGGTCAGCCGCATGCAAGGCAAATGCCCTACCCGCTGTGCTATCTTTCCAGCCCCAATGTATAAGGTTTTGATGATGGCTAAATATTAGTTAGTGACAAGTATTTTGAGTACGCTTTTTAATTACTGAAGCTCCATTAACCCTAGAACTAGGAAAAGTGTAAATTAATCAAATAATTTTTTGGAGGCTAAGAGGGGCACACCAAGTGGTCTAGGGGGTTACTTCTGTGTACAGGGACTCTGTAATGCTGGAACTAACTGAAAGCTCCCTCAGGCTAGACACATGTTTGAACTATTTTTTTTTTGACCAATGAACTAAATTTTAATGTTCATTTATTGCAGGTAGAAAACAAAAACATTAGACATACTGAGAGATGAGGGTGGTATACAAGCAGTGGTATCTGATCCTTACCAATGACGATGCGATAGGAATAATTGGAGACAGGGTAAATAGGCCGATGCAAGGGTTTTTTTTTACCCTGAGAATAAGGGTAAATGAAATATTGTGTGGGCCAGACCTGATAAATGACCTAGTAAATGCTAAAAATTATGGTCATCTTGAGTATCCTGCCTGTCTCAGTTTAACATCTTGTGGTCTTCAGGCTTAACAACAAAAAGTATATCTAGTACTTGATTTTTCAAAGAACATATATAAGCAATTGTAAGGTCTATAGGTCCAGAATTCATGTAATTCCATATTTCAAAAAGAAATTCATATTTATTTTGACCATCCCAATTTTTTATGATCTAGTATTTGGACTCAAGTTAGTCTTATTTATAAGACAATTATTAAAACAAGCATGTATATTCACATCATACAATTGTGCAAAGGTAGAAATCAGAAGAGCAGTTCTCAGACACTGTGGAGCATGGTTACAGACACTGGTGCAGACAAGACCTGACCTTGCAAAGCAGCCCAGAAACAAAACCTCGCAAGAGGGAGTATCTGGGCAAAGTTGGCAAGAACAGGGTGTCAGCCAGCACCGGGTGCTCTGCCTTGAGCCTCACTTGACCTCCTAGTCACATGAACCCAAGACACAGAAACTGTTACGTTTGCTTAGCAAGCCATCCTAACTGCAGCACCTAACCTTGATTGGGATTCGACCAGGGCAAAGCAGAGTTGGACAGGTGACAGGCCAATAATGTTAAGCTTTCTGTGATTGGACCATCCTTTAAAGCTGAGACCCCCTATAAAATATGTGTGTATTTGACAATAAAGTGAACAGCCATCAACTACTCCCAGAGGGTGTTTCTCCTAGTGCCCATTATCCTTCGCCCTACATCTGCCCGGACCCAGTGCACAACATGTCTGGGCATCGTTATGGGGAAAACTATTCCCCAACAAGACACTGAGCTGGAAGACATTTGGGGACTTCCAAGAGCTTCCCTAGTGAAATCAGTCATATAGAAATCAAACTCTTCCAGTTCTTCTCAGGTCAGCCTTTGTATCACCTTTCTACTTCACACAAACAAATAGCTTTTTCTTCAAGATCTTCAGTTGGGATCAAATAAATCAGTGGGGTCAGCCCTTTTATTATTTTTTTAATTCTTTTTTTTTCGAGGCAATTTTTTTTGTTATTTCCCTCTTGTTAAAAATAAAGCCAAAAGCAACAATTGGAGGGAGGTGGCAGAGATTCTTCTGGGCTAGCTTTATTATTTTTTAAAGAGAATCATTTTATTTATTTATTTATATTTATTTTTATTAGTGAAACACCATGTGGTACAGTTGTAGACTTACAATTTTTTGTGCTTGGGTTTCAGTTATACAATGATTGAGTACCCCTTTTATTCTTTAGTGACTTACTTTTACAGAAGTATGCTCTACAACAAAGGAAGAACTAAATCCTCAAAATTTGTGCATCATTTAAACTTTCTTGTAGTTTTAGTTTCTATAAGTGGTTTGTTACAAATCTATCTTCCTAGTAAAAAATTTCCACTCAAATTCATATTGGTTGTTTCATTATTAGTGCATATTCCCCACACTCCCATCTCCTTCACTTCCCACTGTCTCCCTCCACATACCTGCTTTAGGGTAAGTAGAAATAAGTAGATCATCAGGCTTGGCTTGGAAGTTCCAAATTTGATCCCAGGTGTCACAGGTAGGTGTGGGTTGAAGAATTCCCTCAATGTAGTCGACAGTCATGCGTTCTGTTCCGTTAAATTTCAAATTTTCCATTTTTTAGGGCCTTTAGTGTCAAAAATCAGATTCTATTCCTGTTCCAGGTAAAACACAACCTCTCAGCACAAAGCTCTTTCCTAATCTACAGACAAAGCAAAAACTCAAATCACAAACCTTTCCTGGGCATGGCCCTGTGAAAGCAGGTAATTAAGGGGAAAGTTAGCTACAGACCTACTGGCTCCGAAGTTCTGCATTGTTTAGAACTTCGTACTTGGGTGGTTTCCTAATGAGCTTCCGCCTCCTCCCAGGCTCTGCGGTTACATAAACCAGAGGCTTGCGTAATTCCTAATGGCTGTGGCACTGTTTAGCCTGAATCCTGTGCTCTTTCAATTTAGGAATAATTAATTAAACCACCTTGTTTATATCTTATCTTTGTGCTCTTAAAAAAGTAATTTTTAGACACTAAGCATTTTTTTTGAGAATATTGAACTAATAAGTGGAATTTGCCCTTGGAATTGTGAGTTAACAGTGTAACTTTCCTGAAGGACTGAAAGGAATGTTCTCTAGACTGTTAAAAGGGAGACAACACCCAGGAATGGCTGAGATTAGTACCAGGAATTTTGCTCCATGACTTGAAGGCCAGCCACATATGCTAGGTGAAAAGGAAGCTCAGATAGAGAAGAGAGCACCAAATAAAGGGTGTTGTGAAGACCCTCCCAGGGTGGGAGAGACATGCTAAAAGTAGTCTATAGACCAAACATGATTGCCACTCAATGCCTCTCTTGCAAAACACAGTACCCCAAAAAAGAGAGGGAGAACAAGGGGGAATGCCCTGCCACAGAGGCAGGGTGGGAGGGGGGGTTGGGGTGGGAGGAATGCTGGGACCTGTGGTGGTGGAGGATGGGCACTGGTGGAGGGATGGGTTCTTGATCATTGTATAACTGAAACCCAAGCACAAAAATTTCTAAGTCTTTAACTGTACCTCATGGTGTTTCACTAATAAAAAACTTTTTAAAAATTTTAAAAAAGTAAGTTGTAGCACAAGGTCTAAAAGAGTCAGTTCCTGTTATTTCTGAAGAGTGAAATAAATTTCCTTCCTTGTGAAGACTATTCAGTACCAACAGTAGTCTCTTCACAACTTTTAAAATGAATATCATTTAAATAAAAATAGATGAAAACAACCATGGAGTTACCTAAGACAAGATACAGACCCACCTGTTTATTTATTAATTTATTTTTTTGGAGTTTCTTTCCCAGGCTCATGTCAGAGTTCATTGTAATCCTTGCTTTCCTGAAAGTGGCGCTTATTTATCCTGCTTTCCTTTTTAGTTGGAACTGTTTCTGGCTTTTGATGTTTTTTACTCCTATTTCAGCCATACCTTCTTTTCTGCTGACTCCCCTCTAAAACAGGGCCACCTCCCTTTTGGTTTTTAACTTCAAATTCTTATGATACCCTACCCAGTTGCCCTGCCTCTTCTTGTGATATCAGTAAGACCGTATCTGGTCACGGTGTGTTGCCTGGCACAAGTTTCAAAATCCCTAGGAAATTCTCAAGTGATTTGGGGATCTTTGTTTTTTTGGATCTGTGTCATCAGCCACATGATATAACTGTTCTCTAAGCACTCTCCCTTCCTTTGGGAGTGGGATGGAAACTAGTTCTGCTTAAACAATTATCTGAGTTTATGTCAGAAGGTAACTCCTGATTGGGTGCTTATGATAGAGTGTGTTTTTTTGAGGGGTGGGATGGGGCCACATTTAACTATGCTCATGGCCTATTCCTGGCTGTGCACTCAAGAATCATTCCTGGCAGTGCTCTGAGGATCTGATGTGGTGTTAGGGACTGAACTCATGTCTAACGTTTGCAAGGCAAGTACCCTACCTGCCATACTATCACTCCATCCCAGGAAACAGTAAATATCAACTAGCTTTCTAAGTGGGTTCTTGCAAATTTGTGTGTGAAATTAGCACACAGAACACCAGTTACCTATAGAATTATAGTTCTATTATTTTACAATTTGACTAGGTATGCTCCTGTTCATGGATATGGTCTCTGGTCTCATTATGTATGAAGTTTTTGTTGTACCAAGTCCAGGCCATTTACCAAGTCCAAACTGGTATAAGAATAACCAGGGACAGGGGAAGTTTTGAGGGGTGGGAAGGATAGGGGGGAGGGGGACTTTTATTTGCTCTGAGAATAAAGATGAATGGAATGTCCCAGAAACAGACCTTACAAATAGACAAAATGATAGCCATCTTGAATGTCCTACATTTTTTTCTTTAAAAGATTTTTTTTAACTTTTAAATATAACAGCTATTTATTTTGTTTTGTTTTGAGGCCATACCTGGTGATCTCAGGGCTTACTTTGTGCTCAGGGATCACTCATGGCAGGGCTCAGGGGAGCATTTTTAGTGCTGGGGATTGAACCTGAGTTCTGCAACATGCAAAGCAAGTGCCTTAACCCCTGTATTATCTCTCTTGCCCTACATTAAAAAAATTTTAATTAGTTTTAATGTAGAGAAAATCCACAACTATTGATACAATTCTAGAATTGATTAGAAAACAAAGCTCCAATATTAAAATCAATAAGTATAAATAATCAATTTATGTGAGATTGTTTTATCTGATCACGGGGTTGTTAAGTCCTTGTCTAAGGATGTATTAAACTGTTACTAGTTCAGCTGTCTATTTTTTTTTCTTTTGATGCTTATTGCTACCAGGAAATAAATATTAACAAAAAGTAGCAAGTGGGATATATCTATATCTTCTTTCTTTCTTTCTTTCTTTCTTTCTTTCTTTCAAGAGAGAGAGAGATTTGGAAGTTATACTGGTCTCTATTTTCGGATTTCCTTGCCAAGTCTCTCCAAACCTGCATGTGCCTCATAGACCAGATATAGCTGCTTTCAAAAATTAGCAGCCTAGGACAGCAAGAAGAAATGTCAGAGAGAGCACCAGAAACTTTGGCTATTAGGAAGATTCCTCTAGATGAAGAGGGGATAATGACTTCTTAGTGTGTGATCTTGTGACTAACTACAGTGATAGAAACACAGTATCTGCTTTCAAGAGATTTGCAGTCCAGTGAGTACATAGATACATAAGCAATCAGTTACAGTGTATTTTCTTTAATAAAACTATGGACAGAGTATGCTAGAACATTGGAGAAGGAGCACCAAAGTCAGTCTGAATGCAAGAGAAGTATTTCTGAATAGAGAAGACATTTAAATTGATACTTGAGGGTTGAACTGGGGGTTGGCCAAGTAGACAAGATAAGGGATTGATATTCTTTTTTTTTTAACATCTTAATTCTACTTCTTTTATTTATTTATTTTTAATTTTTTTTTTATTAGTGAAACACCATGAGGTACAGTTGTAGATTTACAAATTTTTGTGCTTGGATCTCGGTCATACCACGATCAAATACCCATCCCTCCACCAGTGCCCATTTTCCACCACCAGGATAATATCCCTCCCCCCCATCCCCCCATCCCCCCCTGCCACTGTGGCAGGGCATTCCCTTTTGTTCTCTCTCTCCTTTTGGGTGTTTTGATCAGCAAAAGAGGCATTGAGTGGTGAACATGTTCAGTCCAGTCTACTTTCAACCTGCATCTCCCCTCCTGGGAGGATCCTCCAAACACCCTCCACTTGGTGTTGCCCTTTCTATCTGAATTGTCCTTTCCCCTAGAATACCCGGCTGGCCTCTAAGTTATGGAGTAATTCTCCTGGTGTTGATCTCAGCCATTCTTGGGTATTAATCTCATATTTTGTTACTTTATAAGGGATTGATATTCTTGATGAAGGAGCTAGCATGTGAAAAAACATGGAGAGATCAGGTTAAAGGGGCCAGTGGGCAGTGTTGCTAAAAGTATGGGGGGTGAGGGTAGAGGAAGAGAGGACAAGGAGCAGGTCCTTGTTTGTCTTAGATATTGCATCTTATGTTAGATACTGGTAATAGGGTAATAGGTAATAGGGATTGAAGAAATTTCATGATGGCAGCATGTGTTAACGTAACATTTTACACTAATCCTTTAAATAAGGGAACTGATTTGAATTGACAGATCAGGGGAAGTGACAGTTTAGAGAGATAAATTAAATGTCTTTGTTTTAGAGAGTAAAAAGTAAAGTAAGGAGGATGAAATTTCACTTGTCTCTGAATGCAGAGTCCAGGCACTTATGTTTCACAAAGCCTGGAGAGAAGGAATATAAAAGAAATAATTGTTCCCCTCTGAAAGCATATCTCCTAATGCCAGGTCAGTGTTACAGCTGAGTTTTCACTGCCTCTGGAAGATTCATCAAGTAATTTAGAAGTGCTCACACTGCTAATGTGGAAGCCATTCAGTGAAGACAATGAAGTTAACCACATGTTTTAGAAAGCTTTAAAATGAAGCTGAAATAGACAGCTATACAAAGTGTTTGCTTAGACTGAATGATTTACTTCAAGAGGTAACTATGTAACTTGTATGTTGGTGTGGGCACTATCTAAAAATAAAATGAAAGCTTTTGCAAAATGTCACAAAAAGTCTTTAAAAGTCAGGAGATAGTTAATTGAATTCATAAAAGCTAGCTATGTGACAAATTTATTGAGTCATCAACAGTGGAAGTTTGATCCTGGAAAATATGCAAATAATTTGTCATTGGTAAAACCTGGACATGTAAAACAAGAGGCATATGCTAAAACCAAAGTCCTCTATGGAATTCGTTTTTCCTTTGAGTCCCTTGTTTGAAATTGTAGACTATTAGTCATAACTCTCTCGATAATAGTAATTGGTTCATGTCTCAAACCACAAAGAGCTTTTCTGTATAAAAATAAAAGATTAAAAACATATGGTCTTTATGTTGGATAACTGATTAGGCAACTTTCTATGTTCATACAAGCATACAAAGAATGAAATGCAAATAAAATTGATTCATACAAGGAATGAAATGCAAATAAAATTGATATTCTTTTATAGAAATATTCATCTCATATTTAAAATATGGTATCCCTCAAGTAGATTGCTCCATAGCTGGAAGCCTGCCTCATGAGCAAAAGGGAGAAGGCAGCTGGAATAGAGAAGGGATCACTAAGAAAACGATGGCTTGAGGAACCAGTCGGGATGGGAGATGTGTGCAGAAAATAGATAAAGGACCAAACATTATAACCTCTCAGTGTCTGTATTGCAAACCATAATGCTCAAAAAGAGAGAGAATATGGGGAATATTGTCTGCCATGGAGGCAGGGGGAGGGTG